ACTTTACTAAAAGTACCAAAGCAATCATATTAATTACTAATTTTTATTAATAAATTTGCATATATATATATATATATAGAGAGAGAGAGATCAGGCCATTTAAATATGTAAGCGAGTGTGATCATGAAATGTAGCTCTTTTCTTATAATTGTTCAGCTCAATTTCAATATTTTTTGTGAATATATTTTCAAAATTTATTCCTTTAAAATAGGGATCAGCGCAGTTCATTGTAGAAAAAGTAATGAAAAAATGACTAAAATTTTTTTAAAAATGATAGTGACTCAGTTAAAAACAGTGTTAATATTCAGGCAACATCTTAATATGAAAAAATATATATATACAAGTTAAAGAAAAAAATTGGTTTAAAAACATTTACCACCGTGGAAATTAAACTTTAGATAACTTTATATTTCATTATCTTTTTTTATAATATAAGTGAATGTTTTAATTAAATTCTAAGATAATCAAAAAATGATCTTCAATTTCTAAAATTAAAGTAACATTACTTAAAAGAAAATAATTATACAATAAATGTAAGTTGGTAATCATAAATAGATTTAATGTACAGTGCTTTTTACATGTTTTTGTATAAGGGCTACATGAGCAACAAACAAGATAAAACATTTTTAGGATATTTATCTAACTTCCTTTTCACTTTACAAAATGATTTTTTTACATGCACTGATCGGAAATTAACGCATAGAGAAGAAAAATCTAAACTAATTTTCCCAGATATTTAATAAGGAGACAGTTAATCTTATAATTAATAGCATTATTAAAGATGAAAATTCAAGAACTATAAAAGATCACTATAAAAATGTTAAAAAAGGAATTTTTTTTATTTTTTTTTTTTATATATGGGTGAGGAAAAAACTAAATAACTATTAAATCAGGAAAATGAAAATAATAAATATTTGATTTGAAGAAACTATGACAGATGAAGAATACAAATCAGTAAGTCGAAATAAATAACTAAATAAAAGAAAAAACCTGTTTTTTTCCAATTATAGACATTTCAAACCATTACTTATATAAAAAAAACAGTGAAAACAACAGAATACAAATATTCTGAATGAATAAAAGTCATTATACAAGCCAATGCAAAGCTCAATAAGATAATTATTTTTAAATCACATTCTTGTAATTAAGATAATTATTTAATCAATGACAGATTGATCTCAACACTTATCCAAGTTAATAAAAGATAAACATTTTTATCTCAAGGTTATACTCAACACCATAGTAACGTTGAAAACCTGCAAGGGAAAAAAAAACCTAATCAATGTTTTTCCTTTTTGGCAGGATTCCTTTTACAGTCTTTCTTTAACTTTAAAGTTAAGAGTTTTAAACTTTGGTTTAAATATCTTTGTTCAACTAGAACTTGACGGGTTTGAAATGAATGAATGTGATAAAAACAAAAGAAAACAAGTTTACTCATTGCCCCAGGAGTTATCCTGAAGTAGTACTCTCATTCTCAATCGACTTGTTTCCGCATGTTTAATTCGTAGCTCATAATTTGCAAGAAAAGAGGATAATGTACACGTCCGTTTTTGTGGTTAACTACTTTTTTCAGCTAAGGAATTAATCTTTTACAAAAATAAAAATCAAACAATCAAAAATTATTAGCAGGAAATTTTTGAGATAAACGGGTAAAACTAACATAAGAATATTATTACTATACAAAACAAATGAAATAAAATAAAAATATGACCACCGAAGCCGACGTCTTCAGGGGGTACCGGCCCCTGTAGCCATTAAAAACAAAACCATTTCTATTTGAGGGAGAAGCAAAANGATAAATTGGTAAAACTAACATAAGAATATTATGTTATAATTACGTCAATATAATCAAGGCAAACAGTAAGTTGTTTTCAGGTTATTAGATAACTTTAAGCTTTTCAATCTTTATAACCTGTACATTTTTTACGTCATTTCAAAAAGAAAACAAATATAAATAATTCTAATTTTTTCTTCATAATTTTTAAAATAAGATTGCTATTTCATGTTTTTCTTTTTCTTTTTTGCTATTTCAGTGGCACTAGAAGCATTCTTAAGTGAAAATGAAGTTACCTTGTCTATTTTTCAGAAAACTAGACTTTTTACACGAAAAAAAAGGCTGATTTTTCTTTTAAAAATAAGAAAAAAGGGCAGTCAAAAAAAAAAGATGTATTTTCACTGAACAAAAATATAAAAGATGAAAAAAAGGAGAGAATTCAAATTTGTTTATGAATGATAAACATGATTTTAAATGAATATTAGCAGTTTAGATTTTTTAGTTAAGCTAATATTTGCGTCATTGTCTTAAAGCCACAAATATTATTAAAAAGAAACATAACACAACAACAATGTAAGTTAGGAACAATTATTTTCGCCATCAAAATTAACTTACTGATTTACACACAAACCAGCTAAATCTAAAACACACTATTAATTTGTTAAAAATTTAACTTTTACTTGTTTAATTTAAAATAACAATTTAAACGATCAATCTCGAATCTTTTTATAAATATTTACTCAAATACTTGGGCATATGTCTTCTGTCTCACCAGTAAAATTTTTGCAAAAGAGACCAAGTCAGTTTTTAAATCAAACATCTTGATAAAATTACACCAAACGCATGATCCTTTTGTTACAGTGAACATTTTAACAAATACTTAGATGTCCCTTACTATGAGAGGTGATTTTAGATGCCCCTGTACCTCCATCAGTCCAAGATCTCATGAGAGAAACACGGGAACTTTTTTCACTCCAGTCATGACGAATCTCATGAAGATGCCGGTGGGGACGTAAAAGAATGTCTTTAATACTCTGTTTAACATCAGATGGAATCATTTGATTTGATTCAAGATTATCCAAAATTGAATCTAGAGAATAAAAAGAATGAGAAAAAATTCATTAGCCAACTATAATTTCCTTACCTATTTTGCTGAGTTGCAGCAAATATATATGTAAGTTGCAGCAAATATAACAAAAGTTTGAATAAATTGCAATATCTGAGCAACTATAAAATCAATAAAAAAAAGTAATTATAAAATTATCAAGTAATTCCTTAATAACTCTCAATATCTTTTCATTTATTAATCCAGTCGTTCATACTGTTGCTAACAACTACTAAACCATAGATACAAAAAGTTTATAAAAGATACATTTTAATAGAAATTGTTTATCCTTTTTGTTTTACATTAAAGCTTCATGTTTGGAAATGTAGATGTCTAAAAAGGGAAAAAATTTAAAATAATACAATTGTCATTATATACTTCCTTTTCAAACCATTCATTTTTTTAACCTTTTTGGTTCCCAACATACAAAAATATAAACTAAACTAAAAAGGTTATTAAGTATTCAATAGTATATTTAATACAAATGCAAGAAGAAAAAAAAATTTAAAACATAAAAAAGAACACAGAAAATAATATAAATATGTAGATTTTTAAAATATTTAGATTGAAAATTATTGCTATTAAAAAAAGTAAATATTGCTTCTAGAATTAAAATAAATTAGTAACTGAGAAGTCTTACTTAATCACAAAAGTAGAAGAGAAACAAGACAAGATTCTTTAACTCAAATTAACTATTAAAATCCCTTTCCTAAATTTCTGCTTGCTACAGTACATCAGTCCTTATGAGAAATATTTTTAGAAAGCGAATAAACTTTAAGATATTTTAAATAAAAGATGTAACCTTTTTACTGGTTAATCAAAATTAAAACAGCAAGAAAAGGAATCCAATAAAGATATTTCAAATCGACAAATATTTCAAGAAATACTAAGCATAGCTCCCAACACGGATAGGATAAAATCCACTAGATTTTATGACATAATTTAAATTTCATGATATTGTTACAAAATATACTAAATATTTTACACGTAGGGAATTTTAGGGATTTTTGCCGTCATCAAAAAAGAAAAACTGCAATATTTTCCAGTTATGATGACATTAAATGACCTTAAAATATAATAGTTTATGTTTATTTATAATTTTGAATAGTAATTGGCATTAAACTCATCAAAGGTAGCTAAGTGAATTTTATAAATGCACCTCGCTTTCTTATATATCATAAATCAGTGACACTTACATAAATATTCAAGCAAGCAATAATCTGCACAAAAATTCTACTTCAATAAGGATTTTATGAGGAAACTTACTCAGTTTTAGGGAATTTACTAAAATATACAAAAACCAGGAGAATTTTTATGAAACCAGTAGACCAGGAGAAACTGGAAAAATCTAATAGAATTGGCAGCTAAGACTAAGTTTTACATTATCACTCTACTAAAATGGTACAATAAACTTGCTTTAAAGACAGCCTGAATAAATATCCTCAAAGGTAAAAATTATTATGTTTATTACCTTATTTTACTAATTTATTACCTGAAATTTGATCTAAATTATGAGCATCTAAATCTAATAAGATTGAGCCATTTGTAAGACAACTTCTCAATTCAAAGAGTGAATGAAGCGACACAGTAGCAACATGAGGTTTAGACCAGCGATTACCACCTTCCTCTACATCTTCTTCAAACTTTATCCAACTAAAAATTGGATTTTTTTTAAATCAATATGAATGAAATAAATAAAATATGGTATAATCTATTACAATGTCATTAAAAGATTAATTAAAAATCACTTTTTAGTATTAATGCAATATTTAAAAAAATCATTTAATTAGATCAAATATTTGGCTCAATAGCACAAGTCAAAAATTAATGTTAAATAATTAGGGAAACCCTTATTAATTTCATATGCCTAAGTTAAAAAGATCTTTAATTGTACACTCCTCATAACATTTCCGGATTTGATTTATACATTCAAGCTCTTAACATTATATTTCCAAAATTTAATTCTAAGCTAAAATGTATTAAATAGACACCTTCGTTCCAGTAAGATCAAAATCTTTCTAAAAATTTTTAGTTAAAAAAAATTCTTGATATTGTTTTATTCTTTAAAAAATTTTTTTACAAATATTTTGCAAAATAAGGTAAAAACATTTAATTTGTTAATAAAAATATTATTTGGTAGGAACAATGATTATCATTTTATATCAAATGTTAACTTTTATTTGAGTAGCAAACTAAATAAAAATAAATTATCCATTTTTACACTGTTTTAATTTGAAAATTATATTTTTATTTATAATTTAATTATTATACAGCTATAATATTCAAAAAGGAAAAATCAAAGTATATCTTAATTTTAGTATATACATTAAAAATTATTTTTCAATAAATAATCTGATTTATTTCAGAGTTTAAATTTAAAAATGATACAATCCAGCAAGCAGAAGATTATATTCATTTTTTTAGGGCAAAACACATTAAAAAAAAAAACATCAAGCGTTTTTAACTTATTTTGAAATTTTATAGAAAAGTACAAAAGGAACATTATTCTACATAGGAAGTTTCTTTTATTAAAATTACATACAAAAATTACTATTTCGAAAAGTTTTAACGAAATAAGTCACATCAATAAAATATTATGCTGAGAAAAATTATTTTCGTCAATTTCTATAATTGGAACTGTTGTCCTAAAACCAATTAATCAAAAGATATTTAACTCTATAATACATTTCGATCATCCTATAAAGATAATTACAAAATATACAAACTTATATGAATAATTGTAATAATACCGAGCAGTTTCTCTCCACTCAATTTCATCACCCTTTTGAAACAATTCTCCCATTTCACTAAATAAGGGATGAGGCTCATGGCTGCCATCTTCATCTTCGCCCAATATAAAATGGACTCTTTCAGATGGTAAACTTACTAAAAACGTAATAATAAAAGTTTAAAAAATGCATTTTTCAACCAGAACTATAATAAATAAGTTAAAAAATATATTTGAAATAATTACTGAATATCAATGCAATCATTCTACGGTAAAAGTAAAAATTATTTTTTTTGACATATTGGATAAATAAATTTTAAATGGAAGTGAAGAAACAGAGCCCATATTTTACGAATTGGTCATGAACATGCAGATCACATTGACTGCAAGTGATTCCTAAAACAATTTTAAAACCAATAAAACTTGCATTAGAAATATTTATGTATATGTTTTAATCTAATTTTAATAAATAGTATGAATTTATGATTCTACGGTAAAGAGAAATTTTTTTGAAAGTAGCTAACCTGGAAAAAAGGTTGAACATTCATAACTTAATAGTTTGCAGTTAATAAAAAAATAAGTGGTATAATTATAGCAAAAATTTTCCATTTTTATTGATTTTCTGAAATTTAAAAAAATAAAATTTATTATGAACAGGTTGATGACAAAACTATTAATATTTTTAATAATGAAATAAACTATTTAACTATGCTTAAAAGTACCAGATTTATTAGCTTCTGGATCACATTCTACACTGGTACTATGTGCAGGTTTGTGATGGTGACGATGATATCTTTTATGAGGGCCTTTTTTTCTGTAAGCTGGAACATGATATCCTATGTAAACAGTGCAAGCTCGGTGATCTGGAAAAGAATAACAACAATATGCATATTCATTAATATCACTTACTAATATAACATTAGAACCACTTAATATATATAAGTAATACCTTCGATGTCATAATCTAACACATTAGATGGTTGACAAGTGATAACTTTTGGATCCCTTGCTGTTCCATTCTCATCATCCATTCTGACAGTTTAAAAACTGAAAAATTTACAAACCAAGATTAATCTTTTTCGGCAAGCATTTATTTTGTAACAAGATTTAAGAAATAATTAGGTTATAAATAAGACATCAATAGAATTTCTTTTTTCAAAAATAGAGAAGTTAATCTTGATTGCTTTATTTTATGACAGAACATAAAGTATTTTATGCACTTTCAGGGGTCTGTCTAGGTTTTTACTGTTAGCAATCAAAATAAAGTTGATCTGCTTCCTATTTTTAACAAATTCAAAAACTCAGCTATGCATAAAAGGAATTTAACAAGATGTAGAGATACTGTTTTAACTATTCATATAAAAATAAACTAATGACAGATATTTAAAAATGCACATCAATATTAAATTAAGAATAAGAATTCATTACTAGTCCGCAAAGTAAAGAGTAATTGGCCTGGCAAGTTAAACAATTGAACTATATATATAGAAAAACTAAAATTTTGCAGAGACATAAATTGAAATTACATTAATGACTATTTAATACTGAAGTAAAACAACTGCAATGTTGGGATACTATAATAATTTTTAAAGCATAGTTACAAGCGTTAATTTTTGTGACACATTTTGCGTACTTATAAACCTACATACCTAATGTACTTTACTGTTTTTAACATCAAGTTTTAGAATATCCCAATCAATAAATTTTCATTTCAATAAAATATTGAGTATAAACACACATTACATATAGTGTCGATGTAGGGTGACAATCTATACAATATAAATATTATAATTTAAAATAAAATTCAATGATAACTACAAAGTTAGCAACAAAATTGCCAGTATTTTTAAATATGAGTTTCATAAAATAATTGAAACTTTCATTCGACTTCTGGATTATTTACACCATACCTAATGTAAATTTAAAGATTATTCATATTCTAGAAGCGATAACAGATAAAGGCAAAACTATTCGCTGAACAATCACAAGCTTTTTTGAGACATAAACACAAAAACAGCTACAACGAAATGATCAGTAAGAAAGCGATTTCAAACTTTGAGAGATAAGTTTTAATTAAAATCAAAAGCAATTACTAACTAGATAATAAAGGAACGATAATTTTGATAAGTATAAGTAAGAGGTTTAAAAAAATAAATAATTATCATCAACGTCATCCAGGAAAATGAGAATAAATAAAATAAACAGAGTCATATATTTGTCAGCATTGCACGCTGTCTGCTATCATGGAACAGAACAATAAATACAACAAAGTTGCCAAACACGTATAAGTAATACGTGACGTTTCATTTTAATTTAGATTTCTGCCACTTAACAAAAAAAAGAAGGATGAATACTTGCTTTGAATTCTTAAATTTATTTTTAATTTATCATACATGACCTTATTTTTGGTTTTAAAATTACTTTTTTGCAAAAAAATATAATTATTTAAATTTTTGCCACCTTTATGAATTATTTTCGTTATTTTTGTTGAATATTTAAACGTCAACTCCATTTCTGGTGTTGTTTCAAATTAAATATCTTTTTGTTTTGTTAATTCAATGAGCAATTATTGACTTTCAAATATTATTGATTTTTTAGCAGAAAAGCTCCACCTAGTTCAACAGAAAATGAACTTATGCATTGCTTTGAGCCATGTCAAGCTACGCACTGGCGAACGCAGTAATCGTCAATCGGTCCCGTGATGTAAATTTTAATTATTTCCTGCTTGTTGACTGAAATTTATCTTACCTGGGGGACTAAAAATTATGATGATCTTACTAATGTAATGAACTAATCATGATTTAAAACTCAAACTTTTTCATTATCTCTCATAATCCTTTTTTTCTATGTGTCAAATTCGCATTTGAAAAGCAAGATGGTTTGATTCGTTTAAGCTAGGCTTACATTTTAACAATCATAAAATTGAAAAGTTTTATTGCTAAAAAAGTAAGTATAACTGATTGTATTGTTAGCAAACTTTATTTTTTAGTAAATTTTACATAAATTAAAGTATTCATTATTGATATTTACATAACAATCACACATTTATTTAGCATCCAATTACTCGCTTACTACAAATATAAATATTTTGGTCTTTAATGTGCGATACTAAACAATCCAATTTTTTTATCTAATTTTACGGCAGATAGGTCTTAAAATTAGATTAAAATTGTCTTTTATACATTGATTTCACTTGTAATAAATTTTCATCAAAATGTGTAAAGATCTAATGATGGTGCCAAATATTCATTATTGAATTCACCTTTATTTTCCATAAATAAAAATTTCGTATTTAAATTTTTGGACAATTTCTGATAAAATATTTTGGTATTTATTTTCCTTCGATATAATGATCTATAATAAGGCTTTCCTAAGAGAGAATTTTTATTATGAATAAATCCCTTTATCTGAATTTTATTATTATTAAAGTAAATGTTCAGAAGAATTTATTATTTATGTTTACATTTTTTAATTAAAATTGTTATTTACTATAAATGCTCAAACTACATTAATATTGGTTTTCCGTTAAATAATCATTGAATGACATTCATTTTAATATAACTCTAAGACTAATGCATTTGCTACCAAGACTAAAATTTTTAGTGTCTTAAATTAAAGCTTTATTTATTTTATTTTAGTGCTTTAAAGATATTTTTTGACTCTTGCAAATAGTAAAAATTAGCTTATGTGAGAGATACTCACAAGAGTCTGTCCAGACATTTTGTGAAAGGTCCGTTTTTGTAAAATTGTGAAAAAATTACTCGTAATTTGTGAATATAAAATAAACATTAAGTCGCATTCTTTCAACCAGGGTCCGCTATTGTGAATTTGTGCAAATAGTGTCCATTTGTGCAAAAAAACTTTCAAGGAGTCTTTAAATTGTAAAGACATACAAGATTATGCTCAACGCTGTAAAATTATAATTAAAAAAATTAAATTTTAAAAAATAAACAGCAATTACAGCTACTAAATTAGTAATGCAGCATTTAAATATTTGGTATTTAGCCTACACTGCTGAACGCAGAATATTAATTTTGGACGAATAAAGGAAGAAGCGTCTGCTGAAGACAAAATTTAGTTCGTTTACATTTGTCTTTCTCCCTCCCTTTCCCGGGAAGGATTTATTCGATTAACAAAACAATAATGAAGATATACAAATTTGTGAAGGGTCCGATTAAAAGATAAATTATTTTGTTAAAGGTCTGTTTTTAAGTTAAAATATTTTGTGAAGGAAAAAAATGAAAAGATATTTTGATATTATATTTGATATGATGATTATATATGAAAAGATATTTTGTGAAGGGTCTGTTAAGGGGTCACAGTACCTTTGCAACAATTTTTTAAAATAAAGGTATAATCATTCATTTTGAGGATGCTTTACATGCTCATTTAAGTTATAATCAATAATTTATCTTCAAAAATTGATTAAACTGCTTAATTTTATTTAAATTTTAAAAAAAGTCGAAAAAATTCTAAATTTTTAAATCCCTAAGGCTTTTTTATTTCAACATATTTTCAAAAAAAGTTTTTTTCATAGTGCTTGCAATATGTATCTTAACAATTTTGTGCATTCATTTGTTGATATATCAATTAGAATATTTTTTATAGATTATTTTGTAAAAAAGTAGAAAAAAAGGGTAAAAACTCCTGTTAGGTAGATATAACATGCCGTAAAAGTTGTAATACCTCATAAAATGCTTATTCCATGCACATTTTAAATAAGAGTATTATACTCAAGATAAAAAAGTTTACTTCAAAGCTTTATCTTAAATAGAAAAAATTCCTTAGGGATTTAATTAAGATTAAGACACAAAATTATCATCTATGCGAAAAAGCACTTTGAAGTCAGACTGCTGAGCAAGTTTCTGTATTAGAACAATTTAAAATCATTCATAACTTTTTTAAAAATGTAGATAGAAAGATGAATTTTTTTCTGTACATTTGAAATAGTTTGAAGTTTTATTATAAGCAATAAAAAAATTTTTGGTATTTTTGTCATTTTTTGGGTACTGTGACCCCTTAACAGACCCAAATTTCTTCGAAACAGACCCCTGACTCATAAAGCTACTTTTATGTACATTTGTAGAAAAAAAATTTATTCAATCATGGATTAATATGTGATCTTAGAAACCATACTAATGTTTTTCTAGTTGCTGAAAGAATTTGTGGTTTTCCTCTCCGTGTAACTCAAATTCGGGTTAGTTTAATCAAAAAGTCCTCCACAAAGGCAAATTTCTCCTAATACTTGATCCAGGAGTTCCCTTGTCTAGATTGGGTTCAAAATTACAAGGCTACTGAGCTGAACATTAGTAGTCGTAAACCCAAAAAATTGGGTCAGCTGTTCAATGACAGTTATAAATTATTTTGGTGCATGTGCCACTACATAAATCTTCCCTAATTACCCAACATCAGAAAATAATTCATACAAATAGAGTTATTTCTGAATTATTGTCATTTTGAATTATTTATTTAATAATAATGTAAATTTATTTCAATGATACCAAAAAATGTGAAATTGTGATGTTTATTAAATTTTTTGGAAGTCTGAACTAAAATTAATGGTTTTTGCTGGATAATTATCAAATAAGTTCATCAGGAGACTAAGCCAAACCATATGCAATGACCATAAATAAAAAGTAGTAAACATTAAACTTGTCAACCCACTTTATCCAACCTCAGCCTGTAAAATATAAGTAAATTTTTAGCAAGGTTTTATATTGCTTTATGCCAACCAGGTGGCCGAGTTGTTAGCTTGCCTGACTGCAGAGCTGATGGTTGCGGGTTCGAATCCTTCTCAGGGCATGGATGTTTCTTTCTCTCTCTGTGTGTTCTATGCCCTTTCTCCTTTGTGTGAATGTGACCCGCCCTATAAACGGGTTTGTGGTGGTGTGACGTGGGCGACGCTGCTCCACTGCCGTGGCTTCGCCGCAGGTGCCCATTGAGCAACAAGAAGAGAGTATCAGTTCTGGCATAGAGGCCAATGGGACAATGCATAATCCCGCCAAGTGCCCGCCATTAAAAAAAAAAATGCTTTACTGAATTAAAAGAAAAAGTACCCAATGTGTTGCTTAGAAATTTTAGTTGTAATATTTTTTAAAAATGTTTTACGATGCAATATTCTTTATTTCCAGGCATTATGGCTCCTAACGTGGATCCAGGCATTTTGGCTCCGGATGTGGTACGGGATACTTACCACATATCTCACATTGCAGAATGGTTCCATGCCTTTCCTCATGTGGACATAACATTTTCATCAGTAAATACTACATTTGATCCAAGTAACAGTGCTTACTTGGAGGTAAAAGCCTTCTATTCCTTTATGATTAATTGGTTTAAACAATTATTTAACTTTTTAATATAAAATAGTCAGCTTTCTGTTGATTAAACATCAAAATAATACTTTTTTTTAGGATGCACAAAAAATAATATAGCTTTAAGATCAATAATAATTTGATTATTCTTTAACTAAGGAGAACAATGTTAATTAGTCATGATTGAAAGTTTAAGTATACTTAAATGTATAATTGTTAAGTATACTGAAATGTATAATTGTTTCAAAGCGAAAAAATTGGCAGTTATTCACGTGTTGTCTTCTCTACTTCTTTCAATCTCTTAAATGCTTCTTAGCATTGGACCTCACTTGTGCACATGAACGCTTTGCCTGATTTTCTGCAAAGTGCTACCTACATAAAATAGATATAAAAAATAATAATAAAAAAAATAATAACTTATAAATTGTTAACTGTTTTTTCAATTTTTTTAGCGGAAGTAAATTCTGTTATTTTATTTATTTATTAACTTGTTAACAAGGTACGTTATATAGTTTTTATTTTTGTGTTATTTTTGCCTAAAAGGTGGCACATTAACCTTTTTAAGGCTGTAGGTTTTCTCCCATATTATCTGTCAGGGTTTCCACGGGTCAGGGAGAACAGGGAAAACCTGGAATTGTCAGGGAATTTTATTTTAACTCCAAAAATCAGGAAAAGTTGTAATTTTTTTTAACGAAAACCTAGAATATTCCTAAATTATCCCTGGAAAATAACCAGTCTTAAGATTGTCATTAACAGTTATCAGTTATTGAGATTTGAGTTAAATAATTCTAACATTTATTACAATACAGTTATATTATATAGTTTTTATTTTTGTGTTATTTTTGCCTAAAAGGTGGCACATTAACCTTTTTAAGGCTGTAGGTTTTCTCCCATATTATCTGTCAGGGTTTCCACGGGTCAGGGAGAACAGGGAAAACCTGGAATTGTCAGGGAATTTTATTTTAACTCCAAAAATCAGGAAAAGTTGAATTTTTTTTAACGAAAACCTAGAATATTCCTAAATTATCCCTGGAAAATAATCAGTCTTAAAATTGTCATTAACAGTTATCAGTTATTGAGATTTGAGTTAAATAATTCTAACATTTATTACAATACAATTATTTGTTATAAAAATTTCACATTTTAGTCAAACTGAAATGTTTCCATCCTCATTTAATGATATTTTTTTTATGCAGAAAATCTAATATTTCACATTACAAATAAAACAATCAAAGTTTTCTGATGAAAATATGGTCTCAATTTTCATAAAATTTACCTGAGATACCTGGAAAAGTTAGAGAATTTTTTTTTCTTCAGAAATTAAGTGGAAACCCTGATCTCTATAATGATTTACATAGAGATTTAATTTATTCACCTTCTTGGGCAGTTGGTCTACTCACACAAACTCACTTTTGCAACTCTGTTGCTCCGGATGCTTGGTTTTCACTCACAGACCTTCTCGTTAATAGTTTTTCCAAAATTAATCTTAAACTCTCCAATTTAAGACTCAGTTGTTTATTTGTTTTAGTATATAATTAAAATATTTTGCCAAAAATTATTATTTTCTTTACAGGCTTTAGGGATAATCATAGCTGTTCCTGGGTTCTATTTGATTTTAACATTATTGGCATTTTTAATCTTCTTCTTGTGTCGTTGTTGTGACTCTAGTTTTAAAAGAAAAAGAAAAATAACCCCTCTAAAATGGACTCTTGGCTTTTTTGCCATTCTTTGCTGGTAAGTAATCAATTTTTAAAGTCTTGTATGTTTTTATTTGAGAGTTTATGTATTATATTTATACTCTTGACCCATTTTTTTCAAGTAATGTATAAAATTACTTATGTGGTTCATATTATAATCCTAAGAATTTGACTGAAAAAAGCAGAGGAAAAAAAAAACTTAAGTTCAATACATTTTTTGTGATTGCTGTTAAATAATAAATACTGTATTTTTACTAGTCATCACGTTTGTGAAAATAAGCATGTTAAAATAAACTATATTGATTCTGGAAATAAATATAAAATATCTTTTGTCCATCCTTCCCTAATTCTGCAGTGTCTTTATTTACAAATTTTAATGTAGTATGTGTAGGTTTTTTATTTAATATTATCATAATGTGCAAAATATTAACTTATATATTTTTGCTGTATTTACTGCTGCTCATAATTACCGTTAATAAAAATGGATATTTCTCTTTCTTTCATTTATTATTACTAATTGAAGACGAATGTTTCTGTATCATTAAAATACCACAGTAACAGTCTATTCTTCTTACATTTGTTCTTTATAATTAAAAGCAAAAAACCATTCATTTGAATAATTATTAATTATCAGGGTTGATCATTTCTTGCCTGTAATGGATATTTTAATTCATATTACACATTTTTGTTTTTTAGTTATGAACTCTAGACGACCAGTATAAATAAATAATTTAATTAGTATGTAAGTGTAAGTTGCTAAGTTTACAAAGAACGTTAAAAAAAAATATTACATATATTTGCAATATATTTTATAATCAGAAGGCTTTAAAGTAGTTTTTAGATGCCTAAAAATACAAAATATGTACTTAACCAGGGTTGCCACTCCACAGGGAGACTAGGGAAAACCAGAAAAATACAGGGAATTTAAAAATCACCTAAAATAACAGGGAAAATGCAGTGAATTTTTATTTTGGTCTTTTAAAAAATGGTGACCACTCAAAGCGTAATCTATGGGATGTTTAACCATGATACTTTAGCTATGCTAAACTATTTCATTTACCATAGCATTATTTAAGTATGTTCAGCTGTTTTTCCAGCAATTGAAACTAATAAATATAGTTAGCCCAATATAGCTCACACGAGAGCACAGTAATTGTTGTTTCCTCTTAATATATTGCGTATAACATGTACAGGGAATTTTTTTTCCCTGTACATGTGTTTTCCCTGTACAGTGGCAACCCTGTTAACTATATAAAATTCACAGAATACAAGATTTATAATTTTCTTCAGCATTAGAGCTAACGTCAAGCAAATGAATCAATTTTGGTTTGCTTGGCTTTTGAAATTTTCACCTCTTAGCAAGTAATTAAACAAATAGTCTATAAAGTATATAGTTCTTCCTTAGTTATAGAAATTTCTTAACTGCAAATTTCATTGTTTACTCCCACAAAACAAGTGTGGTTTATGAAAAATTGTGATTTATAGAAGTATGTTATAAAGATTTTCTCCTGTATTATAATTAAATATGTGGAGAAAAAAAAAGATTTTACAGACATTTATCTTTGTTATTGGACAGCTGCAACTTGCAGCTTTCGTAATGCAATGTGTTTTATTATCTTATCTGCATTTTACAAATTTCTTCATTAATTCACTTTTTAGTGGTGCAATTGCTGTAGGGCTATATGGAAATGAAATAGCTCACAGAGGTATCGATAAAATTGAATCCTCAGCCGTAAACATCTCCGAAGTTTTAACTAACGTGAAGGGCCAGGTATGTTGGGTTTAACATAATCAAATTGCTTTCTTTTCGTATCCTTTACAATATTTTTTTATATGTGCTATTTCATTTGCGACAGGTTTGAATTCTCAGTACTGAAAATGTATGCTGTTATTATTATATTATGTTAAAACTTAAAATTTTTAAATAGAATTTGCAGTTAACATATTTTTCAAATTTTTGTCTAAATAGTAAAAGCTATTTGTTTAAACTTCTTTCATTATTTGTATTTATCTAAAGCTTTCCAAGTATAATGTTTTCCTATATAATATTTTTATGAGTATTTCAAAAAGACTTGTTAAAAATTTCATTTTTAGCTTGGGTGGTTGGGCAACTTTACGACCTAATAAAAACATTTTAGTTTTATAAAATGGAAGTATTTACACACATTGTCCGAAATATTTTACAGTTGTAAATCAAAAAATAAAAACAATGTAACCATAAAAAGTTAACCGCAAATTTATCTATTTTTATGTGATTAAAAAAAAAAAAAGAAAAAACCATCTCATGATATACTGTTCATATCTCAAGGCTTAACCATATATATTTTTTTTCTTCAATTTATTAAAAAATTTATTTTTATTTTAGTCAATTAAAATAGAATCTTTGTTAAATGATGACGTTGACCAAGATTTGCAGAAGCTAGAAGGTTTGTTCAATGTTGTGCAAAACATTTCTTTAAGAGATTTTTTTGACAATGGTCTTGAAAGGATGAAAGAAAATGTAACAATAGGCTTGAACAAAGTTAACGACATCAACCATAAAGTGGACAGTATGAATTTTCAAAATATTCCTGGCATTATTGATGAAGTAGAATTCATCAGGTAAAGCACTTTATTTTTTAATCTTTTGTATTTCATAGTTGGTTGTTAAAGCTTATTCGGAAACAGTCATCTTAAAACTGTAATTCCAAAATTTTGATAGTAAGAAATAAAAATAAATATAACCTCTGATACATTAATAAATCATAGGAGCTGATTGCGTCCAATTTTTCCTGCTAACTTCACCAATTTTCAGCCTCTGAAAATTTGCATAGGTGTAGTAGTTTAAGGCAGTTCTCAAGGAACTGCCTCAGCTGCCACGGAAAATATTCAAGGATTGCATACTGAAAGGGTCATTAATGAAAGTTATTGTGTCACCAATCTTAGTAGTTAATCAAATTCAGAGTTATATTTGAAATGCTTGGATAATTTTTTAAAGCATCAATGCAAGACCTTTCTCTAAATATTTCTTGTATATAATTTTAATTTTTTCAATTGAGTACTAAAAAAAAAGAAAAAAAACTTCATCAAAGTTTTTTTTTTTTTAATTTGTATCCATATAATTCATAAAATGTGTGTTAAAGGTAAAAATTAAATTAGTTCAACATAATGTATGTTTTTTATTTTTTAAATTTGTTTTTAATTTAGTGCAATTGTTCTTATTTTAGATGGTTAGCTACTATAGGTCTATTATGCCTTTTAATCATACTGTGTTTAACACTTATTTGGGGTGTTATCAAACATTCAAGATGTCTTCTAATATTGTAAGTTAAACTCAATTTTAATTGGATGAAATTTTTCTGATGGTTGTAGTATTAGACTTAGCGTTATTATCTTGTGTTTTGACAATTTTTCGTTTTAAATTTTTAGGTTTTCAGTGTTTGGACTTCTCTCTGTTGTAATATGTTGGGTTTTAGTCTCTTTGTATGTTGGTATCTGTGTGGTAAGTGAAAACTAAAAAGAATGTTTTCCCAATTTAAACTAAAATAAAGTATAATAAAAATCTTTTTATTTTTTTCTTCTATATTAATTTTTTGTTCGTCAAAATACTAACATAATCATAAAAGCAAGAATTTAAACATCAGTAAAATTTAATTTCATCTGTTTTTGTAATAAAACTTTTGAAATTAAGTATAACTGATTAAAATTTTGGATATTTAGTTTAAATCTTTAGTGCTTTATGATAGTCTTTTATAACTTGTAACTCTACTGGATTAACCAGTAGTCTACTGAATTTTGCCAGTTTCTACTGGTTTAATGGTAATTTTCAATGTCCTCATTGAAATAGAATTTTTACACTATTTATTGCTTGTTTGAATATTTAAATAGGTATTACTAATACATAATGAAAAAAGCCTCATTTATAGTAACCTGTTTATTTTTTTTATTCAGGACAACCTTTTGAAATTATGAAATATTTTAACTATCAATAATAAATTGCTTATAAAAATTGAGTTAATATAATAAACTTTTCAAGTTCATTTAATGACAATCGTAAAAAAAAATATGGCATTGTTATTAGTGTAATTAAGTGTTTGTATTTTGATGACAATGAAAATAGCTAAAATTCACTATATGTAAAATATTTAGTATATTATACAACAGTTATCATGAACTTTATATAATTTAAAAAAATCAGACTTTTAAAAAAGTTGTGATTTTCCTAATGCATTTTAGTATATATAGTTTTCAATTTAATAATGTATTTGAATTTTTTCTTAAAGGCTGGTTCTGATTTCTGTCTTGACCCAGAACCTTTCCTGTATCAGCAAACCAGTGGGGTTGTTGAATCAGGTATGTACAAGTGTCAGGTGATCAAGTCTCAAGGGTCTTAAGTGTTCTATGTTATGTAAATATTTTGCCTTTCTTCCCTTCCTTGTGCTGCTAGTGTAACATTTTTCTTACTTTAAAAATAAACTTTTTGTGAGTCTATCAAAAGAAGACTGAATTTGATAAAAATTTATTTAGATAAGTCAAAATTCAGGTTAGAAAATTTTAAATTTTGCAATTACTAAAAAAATTAATATATTTAAAAAATATAATTTTAGGATTACCTTATACACATATTTAAATCTATGAATGTTTTTATATCTGTATCTATCTATCTATATATATATATATAATTTTTTCCTTTTCTAATATTAGGGGTTTTGACGTATTATATTCATTGTGATGACAAGGTTCAAGATCCTTTTAACAAGGTAAATCTTTTTTCTTTTTTTTATAGTTTTATTTGTCTTTTCTTTTTTTTAAAAAGTTTTTTTCTTTTTTATTAGGCAATATCAGAAGGTTCAAAAGCTCTGAAAAATGTAAATGATACTCTGAAAGAAATAAAGGAAGTTACTGATGAAATCATATTTCCTGATAAAGGAACTGTTGTAAGAATACTTATTTTTTTCCCATAATTTTTTGATTAAGGAAGTGATGTGAGAGATTGTGTGTTTTTATGAACACTTTGATTAACAAGTTTGTGATGTTTCATTTCTACCTAAATTTGTGCTGGCGATATTTTAGATAATATATTACTTTAATTAAAAAAAAATTTTGTAAGTATTTTTATGAATCTTATTCCCTGCGTATGTATGTGTGTGTATGTATATATAAGTTCAAAATGAAGAATAAAACAAAGAAAAATTATAGACATATGAAAAAAAGGGGGTGGGAAATAATAAGTAAAAAAATAACAAACAACATATTATTTAAAAAAAAAAAAAAGTGAAATTTTAATTAAAAAACCGGAAAAAAAAGATATAATCTTTTCTTCAGCCCACACGATTATATCCGCAAAACAGAGTGCTTTCTGANTGAAATTAAGTGTATGTTTTTATGAACACTTTGATTAACAAGTTTGTGATGTTTCATTTCTACCTAAATTAGTGCTGGCGATATTTTAGATAATATATTGCTTTAATTAAAAAATTTGTTTTGTAAGTATTTTTAGGAATCTTATTCTCTGCGTATGTATGTGTGTGTGTATGTATATATATATATATATATAACATTTCATTAATAAATTAGTTTTATGTAATGATTTCAAAGATTCTTTTTACTAGTAAATATTTTTATTTTTACTCTATTATTTGGATAGAAATCACAGTTATTAACTTTTTATTATTGCAATATATATTATATTTCCAATTAAATGCGCTTAACATAAACTATTTTTAAGAGTTGTCTAATTTAGCAATAAAAAGTGTCATTTGTCAGTACTTTAATAAAATTATGTAAGAAGGCTGACATAGCCTTGTTAATTCTGTCAATTTAGGTTTTATTCATTTAACAGAAAAAAATATTGACTAAATAAATGTTTTTGTTTTTGTCTATAAAGGAGTATATGAACTTTTCAAGGGACTTTGCTTTCTTTAAAAAAAGTATATAGAACTTATGATCCTATAGGTATTCTAGTAATTCTTTCTGTTTACATCAGACACTCATTTTGTAACATTATTTTGTTGACTTGCCTCACATCAATTTATTTCTATACCAGTATACTCTTTGTATATGAACATTACTAATATGAAGTAATAAAATGTTTACTTACATGAGTGAGTACTCAGTTCAAGTTAACTTTAACTCAACTTACCAAACTTTCAAATGTTGTTGGCTTTTGGTGCCTTCTGCATTTATTCAATCTCATCCTCATATAAAGTTCAATTTTTTAAATTTTTTTTAACATTCTAATCAAGTTATTGATACACATTGTTACTCAAGTGCACATTGTTTGCATAATACTTTTTTGTAAAAAATGTAATTTTTTTAATTTAAGATTAAGGAGACATTGGCTCACTTGGCAGACCATATTGATCAAACTGGAAGGTTGCTAGAAGCTGTTGTAAGCTACGTGAAATGTTACAGAATAAATCAAGAATATAAGACAGCAATGGAGGCTGCTTGCACAGGAACTCTGTAAGTTTGAAATAAAAAAGTGTTAACTCAACTTCTAACACCAAATAAATTATATCTTTATTTGTAGCCTTGTATGTAAATATAACTTTTTTTTTTAAAGGGATTAATTTTAACTTTTTTTTTTCTTCCAAAAAGATTGTAATTGTGGACGGAGAAAAATATAAAATCCGAATTTGTAATTTAAAAAATATAAAAAATAATATTTCAAATTTTTTTTATGCCGTAAATTATTTTAGACAAGAAAGAAAATTTAGGGGGGAATGCATAACTTGTAATGTAATTGAGTTTCTTAGAAATTCGTTTATAGATGCTAATTTAATGGGGAAAAAAATTTAGTTAAATTCAATTTATAGATAAAATTTAGTATCATATCCACCATGAAGAAAAATGTTATTTAACTCGTTTTTGCAAAGTTATTCTTCTTAAAATTTTGGATAATGTAATACATGGATTATAATTATATAATACATAGAATTTGAAATTAAGTGTATCTGTTTATTTTATTCCTGAAGTTCATATTTGTTTAATTTAGTGAAGGAACTGCATTTATGTTAGTATCAGCTGTAGGAAGTGGATTATTGTTCACTGTACTTATTTGGGTGGCATCTCATACATGGATACATATTAGAAAAAAGTAAGTTTCCTTCAGTTTTAATTTACTTGTATATAACAAACATAAACTCAGAAATATTAAATTTATTTAATATCACATCTTTTTTTTCTAATTATAAATTTAAGTTTTCTTTTTTAGAGAAATAATTCCTTGTAAGTAAACTTAAATTCATTAAAACAAAAATGTTCAAAATATTACAAGCTATTCACTAAAAGTTTCATACTAATTTTAATTGTGCAATCAATGATGAACCTCTATTCAAAGGTGGATTTTGCTAACCTTATAATGAAGGAAATGATTTAAAGAAGGAAACAATTTCTTTATTGATGAAATTGTTGATTATTACTCGAAGGATGAAATTTATGTTTAATAATAAATTTGAATGGTCTAACTATGCTATCTAATCAGTTTACTGTCCGCCTCAAATAGTTTTCATTGTATTACTTGCTAATGCTGGTTTTATAAGTTTGAGGTTGTTCTTTATTTTTTTTTTTTTTTTTTTTTTTTTTTTTTGTTGTTGTTTGCATTCTTGTTTTTCCAGCGTTTATTCATCATTCATAGTGTGAAGTTAGATTTAATTTTGATATCTTGAATGTGTAATATATAATATAGTTGTTTTTTAATTATTTTTTTAAAAAACTCAATTTTGCATTGAAGTCCTTGCGTAATAAATTTTTAAAAAAAACTGCTTTTTCAAAATAAAAAATTAATTAATCAAGTAAATCAGATATAAAAGATCTACTAGTAAATGTAGATACTATAAAACAAATCTAATCTTCTGTAAGTAATTGACAAGGTTGAGCAGTTTGAAAATGCTTGCTTATTATCAGAAGTATATTGTAGAATATCTCTTAGTATTTTTTTTTTCCTAAGACAATTAAGGGAGGGTTTTTGATGAAGTGTTTTCAGACTTTTAAGCAAAGAATTTTTTTAATTATAAATTGTAAAAAAGGGGAGGATGCATGTCTACTATAAAGCAAAATATGACATTTCAATATTTAAATAATTAATTCCACCTTTTTACATAATTTATTTTTATTTTGTTTCAAACCAAGCAATGTGTAAGAGGATTCTTTCATTGAAAATGCTATAGTTGAAGCTCAGATTTGTGAATGATAATAAAATTAAATAGAAATGAATAATAATAAAAGTAAAATAGATTTTTATTTTAAAAGCAGCATGCTAAGTATCTTAATACTGTATTTTAATTTTTTGCTAACAAAAAATATTTATATAACTTTGTATATCAATTATTTTATATTATTGGCCCTTCAAAATTCTGCAATTTTAAAAAAATGAAAATATTTTTTTAAAATCATAGTGTTACTTTATACAACCTGTATGATTGATTGCTTCCATCAGATTTAATTTATCTCCTTTTACTGCAAATTAACTAGTGATCTTAATTCCAAGCAAAATCTCATAAAACAGCTTTAATAACTTTACCTCAATTACAATGGAGATTTTTTAAAATGTACTTGGGGAAAATGGTAGTCGTTCCTAAGATTATCGAAATAAGAGTAAATTGCTGACCATTTTAAGTATTAAGAAACTGGAAAGGAACCTGTATTGAAAAGCTGTTGAGAGATCATTTGATAGAGATGATTGCTGTTAAGGTGCAGTAAAATTAATCAATGAATGACTATTTTTTTTTATTTCTGATTAATTTCAGTTAAAGATCTCTCTTTTTTTTTCATGTTTAAAATTTAATATTTTAAGAATGACATTTTTATTGCATGTGCATGTTTTGTATTTTTATTCTGGTGTTTATATTGATGATTTTATTGTGCCTAATTTTTATGTATGTTAAGCACGAAATATATATCTTTTCATTTAAGAACTGTTTTGCATTGTAATTTATTGTTTTTTGCATATGTTATTTTTAATGTATGTGCCTTATTTTATGATTTTGCATGTTTTACTTTGCAATTCACATAGGGCTTCAATTTTAAATTGGGACTGTTATAAAAAAAATAAAACATTCAATGTTGTGCTGATTTTTAGTGATAACTATGGCCTTTTTTTTTATTCAATTAAAGAAAAAGTTAACATGTGCTTATATGAGGAAAGAATTTTAAGCTAATTATACATATGAAAAAAATTTTTGAGTCCATAAATATTGCTCATATAGTTGTATCCGAGAATGTTTATATAATTTTTTATCATGTTTTGTGTTATTGTTTCGTTTAAATATAACCTCCAACTATCAAGCAATATCTAGTTTTGAGTATTTTGGTATTCACTAATTTTCTTTACTTTGATCTATCTTCATTTTTCTGTATTATTATAACAGAATGAAGAACTAAAGCTGTATTTCTAATGTGAAAAATTGGAAAAATTGGTCATGGCCATAATGAGCATGCGAAAGAAGGCTTGAAACAGTCCTGATTTTTTAATTGCAAAACTGTGTGATTTGAAATGATTATTTGCATGTAAGATTTTGTTATTTACTTTGTGAATTCCTTCCAACTCATGACTTAGGCCAGCAGTGGAAAATATTGATGAAGAAGATCCTTTCCTCCCTCGATCGTCCACTATGATGCAGTCAAGGAGAAACCGCGAGACGTATGGCAGCACTGGTTTCCGTCCCCGTTCAAGTCATACCCCACCCCAGACCCCTTACTTCAATACATCTTTGTGAGCTTCTAATTTTGTCTCTACTGTGCAGCCTAATCTTTCTCTGCTTACGCTTTTTTCCATCTGGATTTTTACTCCTCAATAGCTGGCTCAATCTTTGTTACTAATATCCGTAAAAAAGCTGGTACATGGGGTGGAGGCATGCTTAAGCTCTTTTTTGCTAATTGTTTAGTCTTAAGTGTCCTTATAATTAATTAATTGTATGTCTCGTATGAATTAATAACTTGAATTCCAGATCGAAAAGAATCAATTACTGGTCCAAATATAATTAATGTATGTGTTAGTCTGAAAATAGGACATAAAAATATCCTTTGCTGAGCTCTTACTGAAAAAGTGACTATTTATGTCTAGGACTTATGTAATGAAGTACACTATCTACCAATAAGTATTTGGACACATGTGAAAAGAAAAACAAACTTCAAAATGAAAAGAAAAACAAACTTTATTCATAATCAATAGTTGGTAGAGCCTCCACGAGAGGTAATTATAGCATGAACTCTCCGGGTAATACTTTCCACAAGTCCTTGTGTGGCGGCTAGTGGTATTTTCTTCCACTCGTCCTGGAGAAAACATGTAAATTCCTTCACCGATTTTGGGCGGGTAGTACACCCCTTAATTCAGCAATCCAACTTGTCCCAGAGATTTTGATAGGGTTCAGGTCTGGGCTCTAGGCAGGCCAGTCCATTCGATTAACCCCATTACTACCATACCAAGCCTTGGTGACCCTCGCAACATGACAGCAGGCATTATCATCCTGGAAGTAACAGGGGTCCCCCCCCCGTAAAACTGCCACAACGTAGGAAGCACATTCTCATCCAAAATAGTGCTGTAGGCATCTTGCATGGGACTAATACGGATGTTGTTCCCTACACGATATATACCGACGAAGAGCAGGGAAGTATCTCAGGACCGCAGGATAGTCATTTGCATAGGTGTCCAAATACTTATTGGTAGATAGTGTGATAGGTTATATGAATTTACGTACCCATTTAATATGTTTAGAAGTAACCTCTACCTGCCGCAATGTACTTCTGTACTTTGGATATAAAATGTTTGGAAACAACTTTTGAAATCCTTGTTTGGCTTGTTTTTTTAATTCTGACATTTTGAGCTTTCTTAATAATTTAGACATCTTTGAACCTTGTTTCTTTTGCATATTTTTGATTTTAGAGGTTGTGGAGCTAGAATTAATCACAATACTCTTTAAGAATATCTCTTTCAAAATTTTTGCCTAAAACTGATTATTTTGGAACAAGGTTTAAGAATGCTGTAGCTATTAAAAGTTATTTGCTAAACTTTTACAGCTAAGTATACAAATGTATTACAGCAGGTGAATGTTACTACAAAACATAGTAAATGGATATATAATTCTTATAATGTTTTCAGGAGTTAGTAGGTCAGTCCTGTAAGCTGCATTTTGTATATAAAATGTTAAATTAAAATTTTTTAAATCCCACTATTAAGTTTCACACCAATCCTTAACATAATAGAATTTCAACAGAATTAATTTTGAAAAAATTAGGAGCTGATGAAGTATTTAATAATGTAATTTAAAAACTTGATGTATATTGATTATCCTCAGTTCAAAATTATTAAAAAGATTTATTGTTAAATAATCTTATACAGCAGTTCTAATAATCCAAATTGACACTAACTTGTATAGTTAGAAACTACTTTTAAAACGACTCGACAAACACAAGTGTCTAAAAACAAAAGTTACAAAAACACACATTTCAAGCAAATTATAATTTCACTTGTAATTCAGATACTTAGGATAATGTATATCTTAGATATTTCAGATAATTAGTTTATTTCTATAATTAAATCACCACTTTATTTGTATTAAAGAAAAAGTTAACTTCCTGTTTATGTTATTTTCTTTTCATTTTCTGCATTTTCTTTTCTTGTTTTGCTTTATATGTTTGATTTAAAAATATTAGTTGCTTTTTTTAAAATGTTTATTTTCTCTTTAAATGTTAATATATCATTTTTAAGTTTTCTTTAGAAAATAAATTTTTTATTTCTTCCAAAAAGTTTATTAATAAAAATTGTAGCCAAGAAAATGCTTATAATTTTTGTATTTTGAAGTATTAATTAACATCTGAAAATTAAAACCAAGAAAATAAGTTGCAAAATAATTTATTAGCCATTCGTATTATGAACCATAAAGTATTTCCTTTTGTTATATTTCCTCATTATACACAATTCAAAATTGGGTAGCAGAGCTAAACCCTCATTTTCTAACAATTTATTTGGATGAATTTTTCTATAAAATTTAAAAAAAATCTCCTAAATTTCATTTTCCTGAAAGGAAAAAATTTCAAAATCCAATCCATTGAAAAAAAACCGTTTAGGTAATTCTAATATGTATCATATCCGTTTTTTTTAAAAAGAAGTGCTTGAATTAACTTGTTATAAAGCCTATGGTAAAAATTTTCCTTATTATTTAGCACTGTGCTCAATATTCTTTTATTATTCTGTTTTAAGTGTTGAATTAATAAAGTATTTAAATATAGTCTAAACAATTCTATTTATAACTCACTAAGTTTAATGTAGTTTTTGTTAATCTTTTGTATTAAACATTCAAAAAATCACATTAATATTCAGTTTCCTATTTTTTACTCTTTAATTATCTTGTAAAGAACAATAAATTACTTGAAATTTAACTCTGGGAAAATTATATATTGGCTGTTAAGTTTTTTTATAACTGAAGCTCAAAGAAATCTCCCAAAAATTTTGATTAAAAAAATCATTAAAAAATAACGATATCGAATTGTGTATTATAATAGCTTGGGTATGTAGAAGGGTCTTCTCGTAGGTCAGTATGTATTTATAAAATTAAAATGTTATTTTACTCACCTACAGCAATCTTTTGAAATTATAAAAAACAAATAACATAACAGATATCATCCTTAATGTTAACTAGATCACTTTAATTGGAATTTAAAAACACCATAATAGCTATTCTCAAATTCCACAATTCTTTTTCAACAACAGTAACTTTTCATGCCACCACACTTAAAATAGACAAAGAAATTCACAGCAGCAGCTGTGGTACAAAAAAAGAGCATGTTAAGAATTTTAATCTAATAAATAATGGTAACAATTATTTAAAAATGGTTAAGCTGAAACACCAGAAACTAATTCCTCATAATTAATCAAATGAATCACACAAACAGGTAGTAATTAAACATAATTATTGCATAATCAATTATTTTTTAATTTAAAATTTGACTTGCAATAATGTCATACTAAAAGTAGTAAAATTAAATCAATGAAATTTATTACCAATTATCTCATTATACTTAGGTCTGCAATAAGGTTGCATTAGTGTGATGTTAACTATCAATTAGAAATCAATAATTTACTACGAACTGTGTTTTATGTTTTTTTTTATTTTTAGAAATGGACATTCTGGCAATCATGAAGACCACAACTATTTGCATGGACGTTACACTCCTCCTCCAGCGGTGAGTTTATTGCATTTTTAAAAAAAGATTATATAAAATTATGGTTGTGTTCAAATGTTTTTATGTTCAGAATATTTTTAACATGGCAGTGGATTCTTGTTAAGTCTGAGTTATGGTTTTATTTGCTTCAAAAATTGTAAAATTAAGATAACCTAAGATAAAAATTTTGCTTATTACTGATTAAAAATATTTATCTCTTATTGGAAATAGAATAAATAAAAACATCAAGTTGCAAATTTCCTATATCAGCAAACTTCGTATATATAAGTATTTTATACTAGTGACTTATGTAAATGTTGCTATTTAAAAGAAATACTCACTAAATTGAGATAAAGGCATTTAAAAAAAAAAATTCTTAATATTGTGAATTGGGTAATTTGAATTTTTCTTAGCTTTTTCTTTTCCCTTAACAGTTAGTTACTGAACTTAAGAAATGATAAGTGATTGCAACAATGCAAATTTCACACTAATTGTATTTTAAAAAAATATTTATTTGTTTTTAAAATTATCTATTTTAACTTTAAGCTAAGTAAGCTGTGAATTATTAAAAATCTATTTTTTTCGAAATTAATAATGAAAACAGTGATAAAAATTATAAACCAATACTATTGAAGAATTGGAAGTCATAAGTAATTACCTCTGAATCTGTATCATCTTTGATTTTAACATTAGTTTGTGATTATAAAAGAATCCATTTCAAGCTTTATAGCTTTGTGTAAAATTTTCATTATTAAACACATTGCTACATAATATTTAACTATTTATAAATCTGTCAACTTGACTTATCAAGAATCATCTGTCCTTTAGATATCTGTCTTGACCAGCATGAGAGCAGACATTAGAATTAGTTTAACAACATTGTTTTTTTTTTATTTTTTATCTCATTTTAAAAAAGAGAACAGTTTTAAGTTTATTCACATTAATGTTTTCTTCATCTACATTTTCTCCTACCGAAACAAGAAGTTCACCAAAACAAGAGCAGATATTTCTTTAGGAAATTCTTCCTGTCCATGTATCCAAGTGTTTTCCATGTTCGGTAAAATCTTTCTCCAGGATTTTATTCATGTTTGCTTTTTTACTGACTCCCAAGCGGTCATTTCCCATTCCAATTTTCTTTTTTAATAAGTTCCTTCGGTATTACTTTTTCATTGATAGAATTACACCTTGATCCAAAGGCTGAATTAGAGCTGTTATATTTTGAGGCTTTACCAGAAAATTCCCATCTTCAGACTTCAAAACTGTATGAGCGAGTATTACGGATGCACAGCACAGCTTTCTGTGGTAGGTTTTTACACTTGAGATGTGTGCTAACTTGAGAGATGGATTTTTTGTCAAATCAGTCTTTAAAAATATTTTTTAATTATCCAGCCTTTCCTTTCATGGAAGTAGTGCACTGGGGATTGTTTGCTCTTGTCCCTCTGAATAATCTCGTTTTTTTAATTTCTCTATCACTACCAGTTTCAATTCTCAAGATTCTGTAGCATTACCGCTCATCTTTTTTCTTATTCTTTCGTTACTGTGTCTTGAAGCTTATGTCCTGAAGCTTGTTGCTCATTTTTTTTTTAATGCCGATGAATGTTCTGATGTGAAAATCGCAATGGATATAGGGCTCAGTTTCAATATTAACCTTAGTCTTATATAGTTTTTGGTTTAGAAAGAATACTGAATAAAATTCTAAAATAATTAATTCAGTAAAATTTAAAGTCTAAAATGGTTATCTTACATTTAATTTAAAGTATTGTTGGTCAAGATCGTGTTTTGTCTTTTAAATTATTCTCTTTTGAAAGTTACACTTTTTTTTTTAATTATCACAAATTCTGATGTTGTCAGGTAAATCAATAATAATCAGTATATATATATTTGGAAAATTGGTTGGCAGTGATATAATATGCATCGGTATGGATAAATAACATATTAAATTCATATGCAATATGATTCAAAGCTGAATTTTAACTTCAATGTGATAATTTTTCCTGGTGGCATCAGATTAAAAAAAAATTTACAAATAAACCTCTACTATGCATATTACCTTCACCTTTTCCAAATAAACATGAGTTCAAGACCTGAAATCTTTTCATTTATTTATTATTATTCTCTTGGTTCTCCGTTTCAAACAGATTTGGAGCTTTATAATTTTTCAAAGTTCTTCTGCCATTCAATTAATCAATATCTGATAAACAAATTATATCAATTTATGATATTTTTGTGCCTAACATATTGTTGACCAATGACAAGTTAACTCGTCATTGGTCAATAACATTTGACCATGCAATCAATATTGAGAATGTTTTATGTTACTTCTATATTTAAATACAAATATAATATATAATAATTATTAATTAATTAGTTCTTATTTTTTCATGAGAAAGTACATTTTTCTAATCTAAGCTAGAAAAATAATTTTATACACCTTTGAAAATATCTTAAACATTAACTCTTACAAAAAGCTTTGTTACCTTGATCTATCTATATAGCTTAAGGTGACTTGTGTGGTAGATGTGTGTAGTAAAGGTTTATTATGAATGTTAAGGGTATGTTTATTAATACAGATAAGAAATCTCAACTGTGTTAATTAAATTAACTAAAAAAAAAGTTTGATATGTTCATATTTCATAAATTATCATTGACCTTCATAATTATTTATAATATCTGAAACCTTTAGAACTGAGCTTTTATTTATTTCTTCAGAGGTTATTTTGGAAAAATCTAAAAAACTAATTGTTACTCTAATGAGAAACAATGTAGTGTTATTCAACTTATTAAGGCAAAAAATATTAGTGTATGTGCAATAAAAACAAGATTTTTATTTTTTGACGCTAAGTGAATGTTTTTGAATACTGATAACAAGTTTATCTATGGAAAAAATTTTAAAAGTACTTCACTGTATCAAATTATCTGAAACATAAGATTACTACCTAACATACTTCAAGGGTACCGAAAATTTTTCATTTTTGTGAAAACTAATTTTTAATGAAACTTAAAAGAGGCTAATTTAAAGTTTTAAACTTTACAATTTAGTTTAAAACAGGGGTGCAAACTATGTCAGTGAATAAAAGAAGTCCAAGGAAAATCGAGATCTTGGGAAATTTTTGGTCTAATTATATTAAAACAAGGAATTGTTACAAAGTTTTTTATTGTAAAGAAAAAAATTCTTTCCAGGCTATAATCATAAATTATCACTATTTCAGTATGCTTTGATTTCTGATATTTTTATCATTGTTGCTAATTTATTAAAGAATTGTGTAAAATGAAATGAATTTTTTTCATTGGGGGAAGAAAATTTTTTTATAGAATACAAGCTTTACTTTCTAAAAATATTTTTAAAAAATTATTGTAATTGGAAAAAAAAGGGTTATAATTTTGGGAAAAATTTCAAACCAAAATAATAATAATAATAATAATAAAAACATTCTTGGAAAATATTAGGCTCTGAGAATTTCATGCACCCCTGGTTTAAAACTTAAAATTTTATACAGTTGAGAATTTTATTTGTATTTGATTTCCGACATTACTAATTATGACATTTATTTTATGGGGTATAAGTTATTATTATTTATAAATGAGGCTTATGAATGCATTTTCTTTGCATTTTTACAAGTAGATGCAGAATGGCTAGTTATGAAATATATGTTGCATGCAATAATTAATTGGAATAAATAATCAACCTACTCTTAAAATATTTAAAATTTCCTCTATCATGTGAATTGAATTGGAATGTCATTTATTTTCTTTTCTTAACAATTATCTTAAGTTTTTCTTTAGCAAATTTTATAATGGTTTTTTCTTTAAAAAAATCTTTTTTTTCCTTTTTTCTGTGGCTTTTTTTAGCATGATATGCATGATTTTCATTTTTATGGTTAACTTCTTTAAATCAAATGGCTGCTAACTTCACATTGAGTTATTATGAACACCTAGACAAGCATAAATGATTGTAAAATTGTCTTACATTAATTTGTAATTCACTAACCCATTGTGTGTGTTAAATTTATATGATTTTAATGTAATTATAAGAAAAAGCTATAGTAAAAAAACTGCAACTATTGCGTAATATAAATTCAAATTCCTTGAATCTACATTTAATTTTTGTTACACAATTTTTTTTCCTCATTTGTAACAAGTATAAAAATAAATGTCTCTATTAAGAATAATTTCCAAATATGCACGGTAAACTTAATATAGTAGTAAAAATATGTATATATTCAGTACATGTCTAATAAGATACTTTTTAGGTACAAGATGTTGATATATAACTAATTTAAAACACATTATTGGTAGATAAAAATAATATTTTCAATGTAATAATAATAAAAATTATTAATTGATGTAAATATTCATTTTAAAATCTTTTCCAAGCAGATAACTTATGATGTATATTAAAATATTGCTTCATAAGACCATATAACAAAAATAATACTTAAAATAGTTTATAAATGCAATAATAGTATCTTTACAAACTTCATAAATCGTATTTTGCTTTATCAGCAGAATTACAATTTAGTATTTTTACTCCAAATTAAAATAAAATGTTTTGTTATAATTCATCCTGTAGAAACACACTTCAGGAACTGCTAGGAATAAAAAGAAATACTTATTTGAAATCAATTAGTATCAAAATTTATTAAATATAATCCTACTCTTTTTGCAAGAATTATTTTAATTATTTTCCTTGTATTATTGTTTCCTCTCTTTTTTACAAATAAACTTTCTACACTACATTTTTTCCCTCGTTATGTATTACATACATTGATTGTTGCCTGATTTTACTGTATTGATAAAAGTTTTTGCATTGATAAATTTTTAATCAGTTTTGTTTAATTAACCATTCTTAATTTTTATAATTATTTTCCTTTAAAATGTTTGCAATTTTTGTGTGAAAATAATTCTTGTTACATAAAATGAACCTTTAATATTTAAAATTATTCAAAATAAGTTAAATTCTGAGAATTATACCAATTTTGTTGCATCATTTAGGACACTAATTTCATTATGCTTGTCTAGAGTTAAATATACGAAACCTATGTAATTCACGTAAACTATACCAATATATATATAAACTTAACTTATTTATAATTAACTTAAACAATAGTGACTTATTTATAAGCTTATTTTCTTTTGATGTTAGAGATTAAAGCAAAGTAAAAAATAAAAGAACACGCCTAAACTAATATTACAGACATATGTAATAAACACGCATAAAATATATCAATTTCAGATCCGCTAAAATTCAAAAAAGCTAGCAGCCATCGTTGATAGCAGTCTGCCTTGCACTTTGTTTGCACTTTAAGTTTAGTTTGCTTGTCTGTTCTGTGACTGACCCCCTCCTCTCCATGCCTCAGTATGACCAGTTGTCTGGGGGCCATCTCATGGGGCATGTGGGATCTAAAATGAACTACCAGGCCTGAATGTCCCTTCCTCTCCAGCCCGACGCTGATCTCACCTGTGCCACCAAGTTCTGAAGATGGAAGAGGAGCACCACCTGTTGGAAACTGAATAGAATCCTTTATCTTTCTTTTATCCTATCTTCTGTAATTCAACCTTGTTCAAAAGAGGAGCTCTCTACTCAGGATTTGGATACTTTGCATTGGAAGAGGAAGAAGATTTTTTTTTCTTTTGTTTGAGAGCTCATTTATTACATTTTAAGGTAAAGCTATGGCAGATATTTAAGTAAGCCTTATATTTCTGATATTAGTGTCTTATGGAAACAAGTTCGCTCAAAACAGGTGCATGCTAGCTAGGTTTGAAAAAAAAAAAAAATAGAAAGATTGCCTCTGTGTGATTACTTTCACAAAAAACCTTGTTTCTTAATTACTTCTTGAGTTTCATAATCAAAATACAAAGTATTTGTGTCATTTATTTATCTTTTTTAGATGCATGATTTTAGATATGTCGTAACCTCGGTATGATTTCGATTTAAAAAAAAGGTGTTTTTATATATATATGAACCTCTGTAATTGTAATATACACTGAAAAATTTGGCTCTTAAATGCAACAATATTTATGACTTGCTGATGAATGGTATGGTTTAATGGTGTTTTTTGGATATCCATTTTGAAGCGGTGCTCAATAAGTCATTGATGCTCTGTGTATTTGAACTCTTTAGATTTCATTTTACAGTGTCTGTTAAATGTGAATCAGTTGGATGTAGCATTATAATGCAGTGTTTTCTCTTCTCTCACTGCTCAATGTACATAGCAATGCTTAGCATTTAAAGTTTTATTTTATGATTGTTTATGTTTAGATGTTTAATTGTAACCTGTTGTACATTGAAAAACCTTTTATACAATTCCATCGTCCACCTTTTCTTAGCATTAAAATTTTGATGATATTGAAAGTGTTTAGTTTGGGTTAATGTCCAACATAGGGATGCCAACTAACATAGCTACTTGCCTATTGCAGTATTTTTTTCCCCTTTAAATTGTAACGAAAATTTTACAAGCTAATTATTGGATGAAAATTTTCACACCTACACCACTTCAATTTCATGCTAAAAGCATATTATTTACGTGTATTTACCTATTCGACGATGGTTATAGATAAAGGCTTACTATGGATGTTTTCCTTATCTAAAATTCAGAGCTTTACAAGAAAATTATAAAGGTTCTAATTTATTTATTTTTTAATGTTTAGATTAACTATTTAGGAGATTAATTATTTTAATGTTTTTTTTTGTGCTTATAAGTGTCAAGGTGTTTTAATCCATTGGTAGTTTTGTCATTTTCGTTTCTAAATGTTCACCCCTTTTTTATGCAACTATGTGAACAACAACCCCCCCCCTCCTTTCAATAAGAGAACTGAAAGGATTTTTTCCCCCTCCTAATTCTAGATAGGTGGGTGTTTTGAAGCATTGTTGAATGATTCATTTTATGCATCTGGCAGCTTATAAGTTGAATATTTTTGATTTAAAGTTATGGGAAGTATTTTTTTCTTTGTAGGCAAATGTATCTAAATGTTGGCATTCCTACTAATATTTCACATAAAATCAGATGTGCTTGAATAAGAAGTAATTTATACATATTGGTTAGATGTTCATATGTTTATCAATAAAATTTTGTGTCGAACAAAAAACTATGCATATTGTGCAAAGACGTTTTGAATTTTATAGTCTTGTCTATTTCTGCTGTATAAAACTCATAAAGTAGGTAAGAGTGTAGTGCTTTATCTGTACACGACTTTTTTTTAGAGTGATTTAAAAACCTATTTGCTTTTGTCATACACTGCATATGTAGATTTAAAAATTTCTCTATAGATTTTTTAATCTATTTAGTCTTGTTAACGATGTGAAAAGTTTTAATATTTTAAAAAATATATTTTTTGGAAATTATAGATCAAGATTTTAATCTTCTTTTTTTTCGCACAAAAATTGAAGTTAATTTTTTTGTAATCTTTTATACAATTTTTATGTTTTGTTAAATTAAATCCATGTAAATTTTAGTGTGATAAATAATGTTTTAACTTTTTAACCTATAAATAATAAAAATGTTCATCAAATGTTTATTGCCGGAAGTACTTAAAAAAAGCTTTCTTTGCAATTTTAGGTACATGCATGTCAACTAAGACAATTAGATTATAAAATCTAGCTTTCCTTTTAAAATGTGTGTGTTGTCTTGTACGTAGTGTTGTATTGATCATGACCACTTTTAATGCAAAAAGATTAAAGTACAAATAACAAACTTCTCAAATTCCCACAAAAATGTGAAATATGAAATATCTTTTTCATTTAATTGATGCTTTAAATCATTTTTCAGTGAATATATCCAATTTCTATTATTCTGTCTATTTTAATATTTATTAAAATAAATAGTTTTGTTAATTTAAAGTAGTAGTAAAACCAAAGCTATGTTTTGTGTAAAGAATTTTTGAATTACTGTTTTGATAAATTAGGTTATAGATTTGTAGTTTTACTATGAAAATTTTCAAAAAAGAACTGACAATTAGCTGCATCCAAATACAATTATTTTATCACTAAGGGTGTGCCATAATTATTGTTGCATTGTTTTTTTAATTGCTTATTCATTCTTTATATCTATTTACATTTTTATAGCTTTGAGTAAAATTTCAGCTAATTTCTTTATTGCTTTAATACTATTTCATCAAATTTTCTCTTTTGGAACAAGATGAAGTATCATCTTTCTCATTAAAATTTTTATCGATACAATTCTAGAAATGTGTATCAATCTTTAAAAGTATGCAAAAATTAAGTGTGATACACCCTTAATGTCTCTATACATACATATTTAGTGTCTTATTTCTATGCATTTATAATTTATATAATTTCTTAGGCAAAATATTCTTCCAATTATCTTAAAAAATTTAAGCGTAAATGTTGAAGAGTGAGTATTATTTTGAATGTGCATACTTATCTGTGAGTCCTTTGTAAGCAAATTATTTAGGGTTTTGATTCTATGAAATGTTTTAAAAAGTTGCAGCTATTAGTTACACAGTTTTAATCAAAGTGCATTAAAACGAAATATATTTGTAAAAAATAATTTCATGCATGAAGTTTTGCTTCATATTTTGAAAGGTGTCTTTCTTAAAATACGCATTAGTGTTATATGTCATTAGCCCTTGACTGTGATAGTTGTTACTTTTTTTTTTGTCCTTTTTGTTGATATGTGTTGTATAACTGTAGTATTTAAGTATAGCTCAACATCAGCTTTCATATAGACTTATATTAGCTGCAGTTTTTTGCAACTCAGATTTTCCAGTTTTAGGCTTGTAAAGCTAGAACTGCTGATTGCCATGACTTTCCGGTTACTTAGTATTCAATATTATGAAATTTATAATTACATTTTTAGTGAAAATTCATAATTTTATTCATTACCTTTAAGAGCATAAAAAGATATTCTACATCAAAATATATTTACTTGAAACTATGTTAATTCATAGCATATTAAATGTACCTTTTCATGTATGTCGTTAGTTACACATAATTTTATATTAGTATCCCTAACATTCGATTGGTAAATCATTTTTTTTTTAAATTAAATGTAGTTGTAAAGGATCATCTGACTAAATTTAAAAAATGAAATTATTAATATGAAAATAAAGTAGAAATTAATAAAAACCTTGTCTGGTACACAGCATAAAAGCTTGTTTAAATGTTATATTTAGTTATTTTATCTAGGACATAAGACTGAACTGATTTTAATTTTATTCAGTTCCTATTATCATAAACAACTTGACACCTTATCTCAGGTTATTTAAGAATTCCAACCATGCCTTTTTTTCTTTTCTTTTTTTAACCATTCCTATTTTTCTTTATGTGCATAGTCTGTTGTTAGATAGATTCAGATAAGGAAAGCCAAGTACTTTGTTATTTATATTTACTTAATGATAAATATTATAGAATATCTTTTATTTATGTTAATTGTCAGTGGTTTTAACTCAATGCAAGGTTTAGTTCTGTTTTAATTGTTCATGTACAATGCAATAATCTGTAAAGTAATCAATTACAGTTTCCAGTATTTGTAAGCAATTTATATAAGAATTTTTTTTTTTTTTTATTCTTTTGTTGATTATAGATAATTATTTCTAAATGCCATATTTTTTACTTATTTAGAGTGTGTGTTTGCTTTCAATTTAAAATGTTATATTCGAAGTTAATATTTCTTATTTAATTTTATTATTCCCTATATTCAATAATGTAATATCATTACGTAAGGATTTTGATTAATATTCTTCTGCGTGATCCCCTGCCAGACTTCCCTCATTAAATTTTTTTTTCATTAGAAAATGAAAAATTTTAATTTAAAAATTATGTACTGTTTCGTACTTAACTTAAACTTTCTATATGATTAAATAATATTTGAAATAAAGACTATGATTAAATAATTTCGTAAACTTTTACTTTATTCAACCCTCAAGTATGCCTTCTGAACAAACTCTTTGCATATTTTTTACCATTTTCTATATTGTCACATCAAAGGGAACATGATCAAAATTTTTAATTTTTATACTCTCTTAACTTTATTGATTTTAGACTATTGTAATAAAATATAGAATAATTTTGTAAATCTTCAGCTTTGGAATTATTATACATTAAAGTTTGTATCCACATGTGTTAAATAATAAAAAAAAAAGTTTCTATACCTTTTTTAAAGTTACAAACTTATATCCTAAGTTTCGTATTATGAAACTTAGATGCTTACACTATAGTAAAACTTAAATTTCAATTTGAATAAGATTTGAGTACTTTCTACCCTAAGAAATTTTTTTAAGAAAATCAAATTAGTACTATCTTTTATTTTTCAAAAAAAAGAAAAGTTTTAATATTTTTAAAAATATATTTTAATCCTAAATTTAAGAAAATTATTAAAATGTTGCCACCTAAATTTAATGCATTAAATTACATTTAATGTAATATTAATTATATTTTAAAATTTTTTATTATATTAAATTACATTTTATATAATTATCAATTAAAGAATTAAATTTTAATTTTTATAATTATAACAAAATTTTTTATTTAAACTCTATTTATATTCTGTAAATCAATGGTACAGTCTAGTTAGATTTTTCTCTCATAAAAGTTGCTCAATATGTCAGTCTATTTTTCTGTATTTTAATATATTTATTAAAAAAAAGTAGCATGTTTAAAATATTAGGTAAGATTTGTTGTATTTCTTTTTTTTCGTATAGTTTTAGTTTATATGTTTTATGTCACATAGTGTTTACCCACCACTTGCAACCTAAATAATAAAAATTGTGTATGGACAGTTTTAATAAAAGTTCTCAATATGTTGGAAAATATTCAGCTGATATTAGTCGCACTGTAAAATTGTTGCTCATTTGCTGAAATATGTATGCAACCTTCCCATTTCTTTTGTGATAAAGTATTATAAAACAAACTCTTGCCTTCATTCTTTTTTATCCATACTAGTTTGATTTTAATTTTTTATTCTTGAACATTTTACTCTACATTTTAAAAAAAGATAAGTCCAAATGAAGAATGGGCACTTTATGCTATGTATGCATAAAGCTAAACAATGTAATTGTAAAAACAAAGGTAATTATAGCATTGTTTGTGTGATGCTATATAAAACAGACATACTGTACTTTTGGTTCGAAACACAGAATGAGAGAAGGAAACATGGAGATACAGCAGAAAAATTACAAACTAGGAATAAAGTGATTTAACCAACTTGGGATGGGGAACAAGCTTGATAGGATAATCAGAGAAATAGAGCTAAGAAACAAGTGTGCTGGGTGCAAGATCTAGAAATTAAATAATAATGGGGTACTCAAAGGTAATTACTTAATTTATTTGAATTTTTCCTAATTAATAATTTCCAGAAGTTTAGTGGCAAAAGGGCAGTATTGGATGATTTTAGAAGAAAACTCAAACCAAGCTATATAAGGTGATGGAACATTTTTTTTTAATATCCTGATTTCGAACATGTCTTACCCATAAACTTCAACTTAACATGAAATTCATTTTCTAATTCACGAAAAATTTTACTGATTTATCATATAAAATTTATTTTTGGAGAAGTTTTAATTGGTAACAACAATTTTATAAATTTTTTGTAAAAGTAGTAAAATAGTAGTAATTTTCCTATTGCAATTTAAATACTGTATTAAAATTCATTCTGTCAACTCTATTCTTCGGGTGTAACACCCTTAGCCTATTCTCTATTTCAAATAGCAAAAAGATAGGTTGAATGAAAAATTTTCTTAAAAATATATCTTATAGAAAAGAACCTTCTTCTGGTAAAGAAAACTTATTTTTTAAATGTTATAAAAAGTCTAATAAGTTGATCAGTTTAAAAGGTAATATTAACTGGCATTTTTGAATAGCTCTATAAATTTTTGAAGAAAATGAATCACAATATAGGCTTTGATTAACTTTAAAAGTTGATTTTAAGGTGAGAAATTATTACACAAGACTTGACAGCCGAGTAAACAAAAGCTATAATACTTGTCCTTAATTATTGCCAGCAGTATAGTCTGACTCCAAAAGAGATTTTTGATGAATATCTCACAAGCAGTGCACATCAAGTAAAAGCAGCTTCTAATTTTCCAGTTACAGCAGATGTCTAATTGCCTCACAAAAACACAGTAATGAAAAGAACTAAGGTATGCTTTAAAAAATAATTTTCTAACATTTACTTTTGTTTGTGCTTTTCTGCATTTGAGCTTGTGTAATATATTGAACACATTGACTGCCTTTTCACCCTTATTGGGGTGAAGCTTATTCGATTACTTGCAAAGGATATTCGTATGTATTTCAAAAGATATTTCACAGGAAGTAACAAAATTATTGAATTGTTATAAAAGTAATACAAAAATGATTTATTAAGAAAACTATTGTGAGCCTCGTAAAAGCTTTCTCTGCTATTTACTCACAAAGGAATTAGGTTTTCCATTTTTCTTTTCGAAATTTAAGATTTTAAGTTATATCCCTCTTTATATATTCGGCAAAAATTCAAACTGATCATGTAGAGTAGCGACATGAGAAACAAATGTGAAGCAACGGACACAAATAAGCAGACATTATTAAAATATTGGTGGGAGTACTTAGCAGAATACTCTTCGTACAGGGGTACTCGTGGCCTGAAGGAGATTTCACTGAAAACGCGTGTGGCAGTCAACATGTTAAAACCTAAAAATAATTGTGAATGATGTATCAAACTGAAATTTTCTGTAGTTTTTAAAATATATATAAACATTTTTTTTATTGTATTTATGGTATGTATGTAAAGGTAGAAATGTGGACTGGGCAAATAATAGTTATAGAAAGGTTTCTACATTCATGCCAAAGCTGGTTTTTATTTTCACCAACGTGCATTTATACGTATTTTTCATTCTATAGATTTGTTTTTTTCGGATTTAATTCTAAAAGATTGCTAGTATTTTTAACAAATAGAAACCACTTTTGTTTGTTTGCCTTTTCTTTTAACAATAGTAATGTATATTGGCTGAACCTTAAATTCTTGTGTTCCAAATATAAATTTCTTGAAGATTGGTTTTGCCACAATTTTTTTTAGATTCGTTCCTATTCCATGTTACTTAAGTTTCAATTGGAGGGATTAAAAAGTAATAGAAGAAAGGGAGAATAGCTGAAATTTTTACTTGTGCAAAATATAAGATTTTGGATTTAAAATTTTATGCAGGTACTATTTAATAGACATAGTCTAAAAATATAGCATTCCTACAACAATTTGTTGTGGGCCAAGAGGCTCGTGGGTGTTAAAGCTCCAAAATTTCATTAACAAGGTCAGCACTACGCACAGGTCGCCTTTACCCTAGCAGCAAAATAGGGAACTCATTGGGCCAATATAGAAATGTTCGATTCAGCCGATATAATGTAATCTATTTCAAATTGGCCGATTTACCCGATATTTTATAGCCGTTAAATAATAAATGCTTTTCACAATCTATTTTATAGACATAAATTCGCTGACTTAAGCAAAATTGCTGCCGAGTTCTACAATCTAAAATTTAAATTTGGAAACTTCTCCAAATCCAGTTGAAAAGACGTTTTCATTATAAGTTATTCTTCCGTCAATTTGGTTGTTTAGAATTGTTGGATTTTTAATATTTGAAACTACACTGGAATCTACTAATATCGTCATTCATATTCACACGATTTTAATACCAAACATCGATACTCCAATCAACCTGATTTAAAAGTTACCCATTTTTAATCGTGCTTACACTATTCAAAAATCCTACACGGAGATTAATATTCAAGTGGTTTAAAAATCCAATTTCGTGATTTGCATTTACATATTTTTAAAATCAGTATCGTAATTAGTATTCACACGAGTTTAAAATCAAATGTCGCTGTTTGTATTCAGGCATTTTCAAAACATTGATTTTCGTATTTACATGCGATTTGAAATCTTACACAATCGCGATTCGTATTCACGTGTTCTAAAAATCGTGCATTGCAATTCGTATTATTTTAAAATACAATATCACATTTCTTGTACGAACTAAGTTTTTTTCTTAAATTAGTTATTATTAAGGTGCGATATTTTTCATTGGTAGGTTATCTTTAATATTTAGTTCAAAAATGCCTAACAAAATAAGTTATTCCACTATTATGTTCAATTTAACTTGCTAAATTTGCACGAACAATGTGTTTGATTCCGCTCCCTTCACAATTGAATTTTTCCAATTTAAAACATTGTATAACTTTACAAGTTCAGACACTTTCTAGTTTCTGAAAATTCTTTTTTCAAAAATGCTGTAGAATGTAATAAAACAAACATAAAAACTAAAATTTTAATACTGTATGAGCAAATTACATGAAATCAGTTATATACAATGGTTAATTCAACTTTCTCTGTAATGACATGTTCTAACTTTTGAAGGCGCAGAACCTGAAACAAAAATATTTTCAAAAATCATACATAACATAAATTCAAAGCAAACTTGTTGTTTGAACTTCCAGTGTCAAACAACATTAATTTTCACATAAAATGGACCAATCTTTAAATTTGTACACTTTCATTTAATAAATATTATAGTTAAGTATATGTAAGTATAATTTTTAACTAGCATTAGAAATACACTGGCGGACAAACTTAAGATATGGAAGAAATTTTCCTAAATATCTCAAAAAATACTGAATATAAATAAATTAAATTTGGTATGGATATATCTTATTCCATGATAATAAAGTATGCAAAACAAAAATGCAAGTGCCATTCACTGGCAAGACCTATTGCCAATAAAAGTGAGGCTTGTACAGTGTGTGCTGCCTCTAGTATGGTGTATGATCACCCCTGACAGACAGACAGCTTGCACAACGAGTATGCATGTTGTTAATAAGGGAATTAAGGAGGACTTGTGGAAGACCCTCCCATTCTTCCACCAGAGCAATTTTTAACTCCAGAATGGTTCGGGGGGGGGAGGTTGGCGCATTGCAATAGCTCTCCCAAGAGCATCCCAAACATGTTTAATAGGATTCAGGTCAGGGGATTTGGCTGGCCAATCCATTTGTTGAATATCCTCGCTTTCCAGATACTCATCAACCATGAGAGCCCTATATGGTTGTGCATTGTCGTCCATAAAAATGAATTCAGGGCCAACAGCGCCCCTGAAAAGACTCACATGGGGCTCTAGGACCTCCTGCCTGTACCTCTGGGTATTCACTGAACCATTGTCAAACACATGGAGCGGTGTGCGGGTATCTTGCATGATCCCTGCCCACACCATGAGTCCTCCACCAGCATAATGGTCCCTGGGATGGTATCGGGTTCCAGGTTCCCGCCATACAATAACTGTCCTGAATCTGGACTCATCGGTGAAGAGAACATTAGCCCATTGAAGCTATGTCCAATTTTGATGTCTTAATTTTGTCCACCAGTGTAGATGTAATTTACAACAATTGTAATTACAGACTTATCATAAACATTCTTTTATTTTCTGACAAAATTGCATGTAAAAACTTATGTATTGTATAATTTTATTTCTCAATAACTATTATGCTACAATAACTTAGAGAATATTTCTTGAAAAGCCTTTTGCAATTCAACATTTATCTATCAACTATGTATACAAAATCTGAAGTTAAATGTTACCTACAATAAATTAGAGAATAACTTAGAACATTTTAGACAGATGTCAATAAATTTTTAGTGAGATTTTTTATAAATATACGCTTATACAATTTGACATAACAGATTAAAACTTCAATCTATTATTTAACTCCTTATCACATTTTATTGTTTTCTTAAAAAAAAAAATTATTATAAACAAAACTATAGATTACAAGTTATAACAAAAATTTTACTAAAATCAATTTACAACTTAGAGATAAATGTGATTCACATTTTTCTAATAAAGTTAACATTTGTAGTAAAGAAATGAAAAAGTTATCAAATGCATGTGCAAACAGCAATAATTTTTTATATTGTTGCTACTTACTTGAGATTCTTTATCATATGTCCATCTGTCATTATTTAACGGCAAATCATTCAATAGTATATTAGTGGGTTTTGTTGGTTGATTACAAATTGTCATATAACCAAAATAAACATTGTGGGCTTCAGGAAAAGTTCCGAGTGTAAAATTAGTCCTCAATACAGCTTTAAAGCCACTCTAAAATAACAATTTGATATAATATATTTGTTAAAAATGTAACTACAAACAACTACAGTGGAGCCCTGATTTTACATTTTCTATTAGAGCAGAAATCTAAGCATTCTTTTAAGGAAATAACCAATTGAATTATCAGAAAAATATGCAATCTTTAGCTACAATTTCAATAATAGCCCATTCAACACAAAGTTTTTTTCGAAATTTGCTTCATGGGTTGCTTTCTCAAATAAAAATTGTTTCATAGTTTTCATGCTTTGAATCACTTTATCGATTATGAGCAATTTTTTCATCCTTGCTACTATTATAGGAGGCAGGCATTAAATTGGATATCGAAGGAATGTGTGAAGTGGTAAAATATGTCTTAGTCAACGAATTTTGAAAGATCTTCACTTTTAGCCACAGCAACTTCTTTTTCTGAAGGGCAAATGTTCCTAACGGATATAGAGAAGCCTGCTTTATTAAACCCAATGGTAATGCATTTTTGTCTACACTGAACATTTATCTTTGAAGGTACAAGAAAAAGGGGCCATCCACCGACTAAGTGGCAGGACTCACTGGAGAAGGACCTAAAGATAATAGGAATCACTAACTGGAAGGCCATGGCACAGAATAGATCAAGATGGCAAAAACTTATTTGGACGGCCTGTCATAGGCTGTAGTGTCCAAGAAGAAGTATATCACATGTCATCAGAATCATTTCTGAAAAGATTGTTTCTCGTAATGTTAAGTGATCGGATAATTCTTGGATCAAAAGTTCGTAGTTTACTAGGGGGAAAACTTTTATTTGCACATTTTTTTAACCCAGTTTTCGAAAAACTTCAGTGATTGAGAAAAATGTGTTAAGCGTGATCTTTTTAAAAGATGTAGTATAAGATTTGGGATATTTTTATCAGTGCAGGCAATTTTCTCATGCCTGCTGAAAAATGACATAGTAAGTAGGGTAGCAAACGGAACAAACAACATTTAAATCAGGGTTCCAGTGTAATTTTAAAATGCTTTATTTTCAAGACAATTAAAAGACTAAAAGTTGTGCACTGAAAATATGGTATGTATACTTCATAAACAATTTTTCTTGTATTTAGTTTTCATTTTTAATGTTCAACTTCACATACCTTACAAATATTTATTTTTCAAAAAATAGAAATACAAGCCAAATGCTATGAAAATTCCATAAAGTGAAAGGGCTGTAGTAAATGGGTACATAGCAAGTACTGTAGTTGTAAAAATTAACTAGCTATTCCTAATTCAGTGCATATTTAAATGTCAAAGTTGATAATGTAATAAATAAAAATGAAAAAAATAATTTTAAGTTTCTTATCTAGATTACAATTGATTTTATAAATTATTATTAAAGCAAATGCATAAAATTGTTTGAAACATTGTCGTACCTTTTGGTAATTAGCTTCCAGAAGAAGATATGTTTTATGCTCATGAGTTTCTGAAATACAAAAAGTAAAATCAATCAGTGTTCAAACAAAACTAGTACTAATACAAGGTATGTCCCAGTCATGAAATATATTTTTAAAAGATTTATTGTCTATACCAGTACAAAAAGTTGAAGTTCATGGATATCTATGATTTTTTTTTTTTTGCACTGGCACTCTAATATCTGGTATGTCCCCTCTAAGACTTTAAAGTCAACTTCTAAAGCCGTTAACACAGATGCTTGGATAACTGCAGTATTGTTAAAATAGATTTTTTTTTGGGGGGGGGGGGGTAAATCATGATCCTTGGAAACAAAAAATTTACCGGGATTAGTCTAAATTGAAGGTCATCTTAAACAGTTTTGCAATGCTTGATCAGAAGCAGAGTGCAAAAAATGTGAGGCTTGCAATTTTATTTTATAACCATCAGTGAACAGCCAATCCAATTTTCTGGGATTACGACTACCAATGTTCAACTCCATACCCTTGTAATTTTGAACCCACTCCAGAAGAAAAGAGAAATCCTGGATCAAGTATTGGGAGAAATTTGCCTTTGTGGAGGACTTTTTGATGGAACTAACTCGCATTTGCATTACATGGAGAGGGAAACCACGAAAACCTCCCAAGGTTCGGCAGAGGGATAACCCATGATCCGTCTACCTCTGAGGATATTTTACGCCAGCACTGTGGTTCAAACCCGAACACCCTATCCCCTGAGAGGCTATCAATAGTCATAAAACAGCTGCCTGGTGCTTCGCTTTCAAACGACACTCATCCTTAATCTTAACCAGAATAATTAAAGGACTGACAGTATTCATGAGATAAAAAATTAGTGGATTACTCTTGGAATTGAAAAAGACAATCAGCTGTATTTGCTCATCTTCGGGTTCTTAGCTCTGTGGATTCTAAACTTCTTACTGCAGTCTTTTATGCTTAGTTTAGCATAGAACTTGATTGACCAACAAATTGATGTGATCTTAAACCAGAGTTGAGAAATGCACTTGAAGGAGAGTGAACAGTGAAGCTGAGGGTTCCTTCCTCCTATCAAATCCATTCAACAAATTTTGACAAAAAATATATATTTATAAATTTCATGACATTTAGGAAACACTTAGTAAAAAGGAAGAAAAAAACTCAATTTTTATACAACTTTTTTTTCTCCTCAATTATTAAAATTATTCAAATGTATACAGATGATACTACAAAAAAAATTATCAATATTTGAATTATTTTTAAGTACTTGCATGCATATATTACCGTAAGAAGTGCCATCGTCCCAGAATAATAATCCTTTAGCTGTTCCCTGCTCACCTGGAGCAACAAACAGACCCATTGGTTGTTTTCGACTACAAAAAGAATGGCAATCAATGTTAGTAATTAAAATAACATTCTAAATACAAAGCTTTTTATATAATTCATTATATTAATGAAGGAGAACCTCTTAAATTGACCACCTCTGTATGTTGATCGGCTGTCTAAATTGATTAAGTACAAAACTAGTTTAAAAAATTAAACCTTCCAACTATAAGTTAACCTCTGGTCTAATACATTAATGCCTCAATATGTGGACACCTTACACATGTTTAATTAGACTAAATGTAAATAAATAGTTAGCCTTAAAATAATGATCCATCTCCAGTTATTTATTTAAAAGTGTTAGTCTCACCCAGGGGCGGATCCAGAAATTTTTCCTGGGACTCGGATCCCTCCCCTCCACAATTAAATTTTTTTCTTCATATAGTTAAACAAAAAAAAAAACTGGGGTTTTTAATGCTAGTCTTCTCATTTATTTTTTTCATAATGAACAATACATAAATAATTCAGATAATAAATGTAATGCCTTTTTTTAGAAACTTTGGCAAATCTGTCAATCATTTTTTCAACATCCAAATCAATTTCTCAATAAATGTTTAATAATACGAGTCGATTTTGAGTTGCTCTAAGCCAAGTTTTGAGACGTTGAAGAGTTGAAAGGAACGTTCTGTACTAACTGGCCGAGTTCTCAACAACATATTGATTGATGGGTACAAATCGATGTCACAGGCATTAATAATCTTGGAAAGATCGTTGGGCACTTCAAGTCCTGCTTCTGTTTCACGCTGCCATTTTGCCACCCAAAGACGAAATTCTGTTTCGACAACTTTTACGGAAGCATTTAAGAGATTCTTATAAAACTCGGCAGTTTCACGAACGGCTATAAGATCTTCCTCTGTAACAGTTTGACGAGGTAAAAAAACTCGGATTATGATACTTGAAACAGTGAAGAACATATTTAGATGGGGAAAAAATCACTTTTTCCGACCTACCTAGGTGCATATGCCCCCTTAAATAATTTTTAAAATATTTTATTTCTTTTGTAAATTACTAAAAAAATTATTTTTTAAATTTTTTTTTTCAATTTTGGGGGGGGGGGTCATGACCCCTGCTGGATCCGCCATTGGTCTCACTTTCATGTTCATACAAGTCATTTCTGTCTTATTTTCTAAACTAGTACTCAACTAGACAATTTTTCTACCAAGCAGAGGGAACCACAAATCGGACAAGAAAGTAAAAACAATACACTCATTAGACTTTAAGGCTCTGTAGCTCAAAATGAACAAGGACAGACTTGGATCACTATTCAAATAGAGCTTTGATATATTTAATGAATAATAGACCTGAAAATAACCACGCGTCGAGTCAGCAGAAAAAAGTGGCGACATAAATTAAATATAAACAACCAGTTACTTTTTTCAATCGTTTTTTCTTTCTTCAAATCTTTATTAATTGCTCATTGAATTTTCTGACTCAGTTAAGTCGAGGCAGTATGTTCAACTAAATTTTGTGGCATATTTATACTATTTTAATTGCTGAAATAACTTTTTATAGCCGTAGATTATTTCTAACAGAAATTTTTTAAAAAATATAATGTAATCTAAGTAAAAGAAACAAATTGGCTTTGAAATAAATAGGACTTATTGTTATTGTTCACCGACCCATTAGATTTGAGGAAAAGATGGTCACTTAGTTAATTGAGTCGATTGGCCGCTGACTACTAACTGAAAATTTAAATTTTCAGGTCTACTGCAAAAATAAAGTAATTAGTAATTTTTTTTTCCAAAAACGATACTATTCAAGTAATAAAATATAATTAAGTAACCATGCTGGTTGATTTATGTTAAAAAGGCTCCATGTGTAACTTAATGAAAATAACTTCCACACTTTAAAAATATAAACCGATATCGTAAAACGCTTGCTTATCTTGAACTAGTATTTAATACATATATAGCTGCTTCCTGCTATGTAGCGAAAAAATACTACTAATTAAAAAACATCACTGAACAGAAAAAGAAAAATTTCAGTTAATTGAATCAATGGTCAGTAGTTTTCACGTCAAGAAATTATATCTTAAATGAAAACATGACTATAAAGTAAGAATATGCAAAAATATTCTGTGTTTGAAAGTCCAAATTAATAATAATGGCTATGCATTGCCATCTACTAACCAATTAGTATTAGAAAAAATTATTGAAATTGTAAAAGTGCCTGTAAAATATTTAGATATCTTGAAATATAAGAGTATTTAAAGCCATTCTAGCTGCTTTGTATAATTATATAGGGAGAGAATTGGGATTTACAGGATATCTGCAACATTTTAGATTTTCAAATTCATGATTTTCCATAACTAACTACAAGAATTTTTTATGACTTAACGAAGTAACTGTTTTCTCCGACAAAAACCTAATAATAAATTTTAAAAAAAAGCATTATAATAACATTAATTGAAATGATAAGTATAACCAAAACTAATACTCAGTATCTTCATATTTATAGATTTTAAATTTAAAAAATCAGAGTAAAGAAAGAGTTGAAGCAATCAAATAGCTGAAAAAAATACAAAAGCAAATAAAAAAAATTTCTGCAGAAATATATTCTAAAGGTACTTTTCTTGTTCATCTGAAAGGAGAGAAATACTTCTGATTTTTCCGTTTTCATTTCGGAATAAAAAAATAAGTGATAAATAAATAAAAAAAATTCTGAAATCATAGAAGTTTAAAAGATAATTCCCTCTTGAAATGATGTTCTTTCTTTCATTTTTTCGAAAGAACGTGATAAAAACATTTTACATTTTTATAAAATATGACTGTGAGTGGGGATTTTGTTACAAATTCAGATATTCGGAACACCATGATATTGGGTAGGGTGGAGGCAAATTCCATCTTAAAAATTAGATTTTTCGGCAACCTAAATCCATGACTTTCCATGATTTTTTTAAAAAAATAGTTAAAATCATGACAAATATTGTTCAATACTGAAATCCATGATTTTTCATGACTTTCCAGGTGCACGGATACCTGGATCTAAATGTACATGAAGTATAAAATTTATATGTATAATAAAAAGTTGCATGAATATTATAGTACCAAGATTATAGAATACAGTATCACTTAGAACTAAATTAAATAACTACAGTTTACCGATAAAAAGCTATGATATTTCAAATGATGCGAACATAAAAATCAAATGATTACCTCAAGCTGGTAGTCACATTAGGTTTTTGTATTGGTAGAATATACCCTCCTCTTACATGAAGATTTATTCGACCTTCATCAAGCAAAGTATCATGCAAACCCTTGCCTTCTTTAACAATCATACCCTAAAAATAAATTTAAAAAAACTTAAATAAATAATAATTTATTTTGAATATTATAAAAATAGGTAGGATTTCTACTTAAAGCCTTATTTTAATTATCTGATTTTTACTCTACAATAAATCTATCATTACATAACTTCAAAATAAAATAGAATTTAGACGAAGTACAACTTACATTGAGAAATCTGATTTAGGGAAGTATAGTTACAGAATTATAATTGGCTTTACTGATTTATGTTTTTTTTATATTTAAAATCCGTTCTTGGTTTATTTTATTTTTTATGAGTCTCACCTAAAATTATTAGTTAAATATTTTTTTTCTCCTTTAGCAATAACCTAAGTGACATAAAGCGTCATTAATGAGTAATTGCCCTACTTATTTTAGACAATAAGAGGATTTATTTTTAAATAGACCCGTGGCAGGTCTATTTAAAAAATGAACCCTCTCAAGGCTTAGCAAGTAAAAGAAGAAGGGGAAAAAAAAACCTTGTAGGCAATAATACATGTTTCTGTGTATTGAGCTATTATCTTGTACAAATTCAACAAACTTATACTTTGAAACAGTACTAAAGAAACATTTGGCTGAAAAAATTTCATTTAAGGAAAAGTCTGGCTTATAACTAAATTGTTTCAAGCATTTTATTTTTAGAATACAGTGGAATATGTATGATCTAGATATTACTTAAAATGAAAACATTTATATTCATATTAACTTACAAAAAATTAAGGCAAAAGAAATATCTATCTTTTTAAGTCCGTTGACGCAAAATTTTAATAACCATAAACAGAACAAACTCTAATTAAATAACTCTAAAATTTAAAAAAAAATTATAAGTTTATGGCACAAAACACTCCTCACAAATAATTTTTAAAAATGTCAATATTTATGCACTATTTTATCTTTAAAATGCTAATGTTATGTATTTAAGTCCTAATATTTTTTAGCTAATAAAGGCTGCATAATTTATTATATAGGAGAAGACATGTTTTAGTATATTTTACACAACCATATTTTTTATACAATAAGTTATTCTACATTTTTGTCAATAACATAAATTTAAGAAGGCTTAAATAAGTACAAAATAACACATTTTCAATGGTTACCTTATAAAAATCATACCAAATTCCATTAGGAAAATACACATCAACAGCAGCTTCACCCTAAAAAGCAAAAATTTTACATTTGTATTCGGAGTTATACTTTTCATGGAACATTAAATTGTTTAATATTTAAAGTATGGGGAACCGTTTATCCGGAACGATCGGGACCTTTGCTATTCCGGATAACTAATTTTTCCAATTTTCTGAATCGCTACAAAAAGCCGTTTTTTTTTATTGTTAAACCCAACTAAAAAAAAAAATTTGGAAATAATCTTAAAAAGAAGAAAAAACGATGAAGTAATACACTAATGATTATTTCCGAAATCATAGTAAGGTAAACATCTTTCAAAAAAGAAGGAAAAATCCTAAAATCTCATGAGGAAAAAAAATAATTTTTTTTTAAAAATGGCGGGAAAATTTATCCAATTTTGTTCTGCTTTTTTGGTTTTCCGGCTTTCTGATTTCCGGATAACAGGTTGTTCTGTACTGTATTAAGACTTTCTGAATTTGGAAAATCAAAATTCGTTCATTCTCATACTTTTAGTAGGGCTCTAATTTTGATGATCTAAAAAGCAGAAAATGCTTTTAAAAACATAAAATTTAATCAAAATCAGGGGGGAGGGAAATCCCTTACATTTAAACAAGAATTTAAAATTTAAAAAAAAAACATTTTTTACCTGAATTTACAAATAATCATATTCATATATTAATCATATTAAAAATAAAGGAAATTTAGATGCAATTTTTATTAAATATACATATTATTTGTAAAATCAAAATGTATTGATGATTATCCACTAATTTTTTTTATGTATACATAAAATTAAATGTTATTTCAAAATCACAATCATATGAGATAACAGGAAAACTTAATTATTTTGGATTATTAAATACTTTTTAATCAAATGTGAAAAAATATCTCTTGCAGGGTTGCCACTCAAATCTGGAAAAAAAAAATTCCCTGTACATGTTATATGCAATACATTAATGGGAAATAACAATTACTGTGCTCTTGTGTGAGCTATATTGGGCTAACTATATTTATTAGTTTTAATTGCTGGAAAAACAGCTGAAGATACTCAAATAATGCTATGGTAAATGAAATAGTTAAGCATAGCTGAAATATCATGGTTAAATATCCCATAGATTATGCTTTGAGTGGTCACCATTGTTTAAAAGAACAAAATTCCCTGAATTTTCCCAGTTTGTAAAGAAAAAATCAAAATTCCTTGCATTTTCCCTGTATTTCCCAGGTTTTCCCTGTTCTCCCTGTGGAGTAGCAACCCTGTCTTGTACAAAAATAAATTTTTTACCTAAATAAGCATTTTTTAACATTACAGATAAAATTGATAACACATGGCAAAATAAAAAATGGTTATAGGTGATATTAATTACAATATAAATGAAAAAAAGTATCGTGAAAAATTCACATGAAATAATAACAATTAAAATAAAAATATAAATGTGTGTTTTGCAAAACAGTACTTTATCAGGAGACACACTGCCTGCAAACACACAGGAGCCTTTTTGTAACAATAACAGATAAATAACAATACATTACATCAGCAGACAGTAGAATTTTTTTTGTTTAATTTGATCCGTAAAACAATAAAATCAGCTACATTGGATACAACCAACATCCCCCTCCCGAAATCGANCCCCCCCCCCCCAAAAAAAAACATTAGAATTCAATGTCCATTAGAACATCAAAACATGAGTTACACACTTCAGAAACATGTGTTAAACATTTTTGCACTTTCCAAAATAAAATAGTGCTCAAAAATCCTTAAATGTAAAAAGTACCCTTAAAAAAATAAAAAGAGAAAAAAAATCAAAATTTTTAAAAAATTTATTTTTTTTATTCATTACATTGCTTTACACTGCACCACCACAATATAAAAAGAATATTGCAACTCAAAGCAAAAGTTTTAAGTAAATCAAAAAAGAATGTTTAGTCAGGGATTTTAGTCAGGGATGAGAGTAGTCAGAAAGTAAAAAAGAGGAAATTCTAGGATATATGTATATATACGAAAATTTGACAAAAGAGTGCGATTTTATAAACTTGTAAACCATGTGATTTTAAATCACGTGAATATGAAACTCTACATCGAATTTAAAACATGTTAAAATACAAATCATGATGCGTAATTTTTAGATCACGATGCATAATTTTAAAACGCGATATTACAACCGCAAAAACGAATCACGACATTGGATTTTAAGCCCGCGTAGCTACATAGGGTTTTAAAAGCTCGTAAATACAAATCGCGATATTGGTTTTTTAAATCTCGTAAATAAGAATCGCAATGTACAATATTTAAATCGCCTGAATAAGAATCGCAACGTTCAACTTTTAAATCAGGTAAATACGAAAATCGATGTTTGATAATAAAATCGCGATTTTAAAAATGCAAAAATACAAAACACGATATTAGATTTTTAAATCTCGTAAATACGAGTCATAATGTACGATATTTAAAAAGCGTAAATAAGAATTGCAATGCGCAACTTTTAAATCAGGTAAATACGAAAATCGATGATTGATATTAAAATCGCGTGAATAAAAATCGAGATATTTGCAGAGTCTGGACTTGGGATTTCTAAAAGGCTTGTTTGAATTGTTTTTTGTTTACACAATAAATAAAAATTTACAAGATTAATTGAATGAGCAAATAAATATTTTCACCACAAATCCACCTCTATTTTTTTTCGCTTTTTTTGTTTGCTTTCTCTCCAGAATACAAGAAGCAGCGACGTCTAAATTACGAAAATACGAGCTATCCCGCCGACGGATAAAAAATACGGAAAATCTTATTTTCTGTGCGTGAAATCGGAGAAAATAGCTAATATAAGTAAAAATGCGGAAGGGTTAGCAGCTAGGACGTAGTTTGAATTTTCTGTTTTTCTTTGAAAATCGTAAATAATTATTTTACTTCAACGACTGAATTTTCACAAAAAGCGGGATATTTATTTTTAAAAAAACGAAACTTTTAGAGAATCGGAGTCTTCGATAAAAAGGCTGAAATTCGAGAGACAAAAGAGACAAAAATCTCATCCCTGTATAAAGGTCAACCAGTTTTATCCCAAGGAATTGATTTTTAGAGAAACTTCAGAGGGAGGAATGAGAACTTCAATAATTTCGATCCGCGGAAAATTAAATTCCTCATAAAATATTTTAACTTGTGCAAAAAAAAAATTTCAGCGGAAATTAGCGGGAAAAATGGAAAAATCTGAAAAAAAAAAGCGGAAATCCGCGGAAGAATCTCATCCCTGGTTTAGTAACAGATTTTATTTCAAATTCAAATGCTTTTTGTATGGATACTAATAATAGAAATGTCCAAAAAAAAATTTTTTTTTTTAACAAAGATTCTTATTATTGTCAGATTCTATGAAGCATATCAAAATATTGCTTCTTATGGCGGTCAGTGTCCTGGAGTAGAGAGACTCTTCCTGCCTGCCCAATTCCAATGACAGTGAGAAGTAGATGGAACATGTATTTTCTTTTTTTAAAAAAAAAGACAAGGAAGAATGGAGTCGACAGTTTCAAATGCTCAATTAAAATTAACAAAGTGCTCAATTTTTCAAGAACTTAACTATACACTTGATGGAGTAGACATGCTATTTTCCCAATTAGTTTTGTAGAAAATGTCTTCAAACAATTCTGGAAAGCGCAAGAGCATCCTATAGCCAAAAATTGTCCATGCAACAAAAGAGTGATTTCATTAAGAAAAATAAAATTTAAACATAGTATTGATTTAAAGTGTGGACGGTAGATACATAAGAAAATTGCCATAGTCCTTTTTTTCAAGTTCTTCGGTTATCTGATTTTTTTATAACGTGTATCGATCTCGGTTCAACCAATCCAAATCATTGGCGCTTTACTCCAGACCATACTTATCAAAAAACAACTTTAAGTATGAAGTCTATAAAAATAAGTTATTAAGAACAGAATATGCAATTATGATCCATGGAAAATGCATTTTATATCCATTACCTCAGCAACTATTGGACTTATCAACAATGCAGGTCCCCATAAAAATTGATAACTGATATCCCAAGTCTCTTTATCTCGTGGAAATCTATATTTTTTTAAAAAATAAAAAAAATTAATCAAAGAATTTTAGAGTAGTTTATAATTACCATCAATTTCAACTGGTACAAAATTTGAAATTTATTACCATAAAAAATAGACTAATTTTTAATTTAATAAGAAATTAGTTGATCAAATGATTTAACACAAAAGTGAAATCTTTTTAAGTCCAAAATTATTTTATTTTTAATGCTATAAAAGGTAAACATACATAATTCAAAATCATACAAAAGCAAACATAAGAACAAATTATAGAGGTTTACTCATCAGTTATTTACATACAGCTGGGGATTATAATGCCTTTGGCAGTATTGCTGTGAGTGCTTTGTACTCATATGCCAGATACTTAATCTCAGTTAACATAAATTAAATTAGAATTAAAAGTACAGGGAATGAAAATCAAGGGCATTATAAGTGTTCAATTGAATGGAAAATCTAGAAGGCGTGACAGAGTTTGCATCACGCCTTTTGGGTCACCAAATCTAATGATAGGATTTTATCAAAAGTGTGTTATGCTGAAATAAATCTTCAGTGTTTTCAGTTACTATTAATTTTTTTCCTGAACATCAAAAAACTAACAGATAAATAAGATTCTCTTTTAGAAGAGTCTTAGAATGGCAGTTTTTGAAAATTGGCAAAAGTTCCACAATGAACTGATCCAGTAGAACACGGAAGTAAAGCATCACTGGCTCCAGTCAGCAAGCGGGTGAGTGACCACTTTGATCAGCCTGTGTAGAGATCGAAGGTGCGTGGTATCAGTCCTCGTTACACTGTTCTACTGTAAAGTACTTGACTTCCTGTGCAGGTCGCCAGGCTACCAAAGCAAGGGAGTCATCCCCTCTGCAGAGGATCAGAATCATCATGGCATGTCTTCGGATCATCCTCAGGGATGTTTACCAAACCGTTGCCAATAGCCCATTGTGCAGTTCTAGAGCGATGTAAATAAAGTACCTACCTACTACAATAAGAAAACTTTTTCAAAACCGTCAGACTATTTAATGTTTGGATAAGTGTGATTAGAACAGTTCTCCAAGAATCTATAACTTTCTTATACATTGAGTTTCCTCCCCTATTAGCATTGGTTCAGTTTTTCTACACTAAAACTGCTGGAGACTTGCCATCAGAAAAGGCAAAGGCAGACAAAATTTTATTTTCAGATAAACTACGGAATAAGTAAATAACAGAACAATACAGAATTAAATTTAATTTTTTGCAACACTTACTCATGTAAAAGCGGCCTAGCAACAGTTGAACCTTCAGTATGTGCTAAATGGAAGAGAGTGTATAAATATGGTAGAAGCTCATACCGAGTGTATAAAGCTTTATTGACTTGTTTCACGAATTCATTGCCAAAACTAGCTGGATCTTGATCCTAAATAAAAAAAATATTTCTAAGGTAGAAACAATACACATCTAAAGGTAAAAAAAAATTAAAGTAAAATTGTCTGTACAGATTTAATTATAGTATTCATTAGATTAAATAATGCATACCAAATAATTCAACATAATTAGAGTAATTTTAGGTTTAAAACTCTAAACTAAAAAACAAAATACTAAAGTATCAAAACAAACTGTATAAAGTAATTCATTCTTAAAGAATATATTTATACTTTTGAATATAGAGAGTTGTGATTTCTGCTAAGTGGATAAAAAGCTCCAAGTTGCATCCACCGCAAACACAATTCTTGAGTAACATTTAGTTGAAAACCACAAATATCAGCTCCAACCTAGAAGAGAAAATTTATGTAAAGATCCGATCATTAAATCAAAAGTTATTCAGCAGTCTTTTTTTTTTTTTCGAGCAATGTACACAAAAGAAGTATTATGAACATTTTAGAAGTAAAAATGAATTTATTACATCAAGTACTTTTCTCATTTTTGCTTTATTACCTGTTAATTAGTCAATAATTTTTTAAATAACTTATGTAAAATTGCAAACCCAATTTTTAATCATTCAACTGTCTTATGCAAAAAATATTCTTCAAAAAAATTATATAGTGAACCATGGTTTATAGTGGACACATTACTGAGCCCCGCAGACAGTTCACTATAGTATACTGTATTAAAAGGAAGTAGTTTATTAATTTCATATAAATAAAATTAGAATTATTTAAAATTTTAAAGTAATTTCCTCGGATAAGTTTGATTGCATATAGGTCATGACTTTCATTTTGGATAGATTGGAAATTTGTTTTTAAAGTACTTGCAAATCAATATAAAATGTCATAAATTTTTTTTAGCAAAATACTATCAATTTGCCAATGTTGGAAAAAAGTGCTAAAGATATTTAAAAATAGTTTTTATAATAATTGAATTTCAGGAGCTAGTTAAAAGCTTTAATAAACTAAATGTGAATATATAAATTTCAGAAGTATTTCAACACCATCAAACATAACTTAAATTTACAAATTAAGAACATGCATTTTTTTATTTATGCAAAAAAAATTTCCTTTAAGAGCAAAACAACTTGTTGTCTTACAAGAATTACCAGCATATATAAAAATTATTATTTTTGTGTTAAAGATTTTTTCAAACATATTTAGATAATAGATTAAAAAAATCATGAAATTAAATAATGATTTTTAAATAACTAAAAGTTAACTTTATCCAAAAACCTTTACTAGCATTATTTTTAAAAAAATGTAGCAACTTTTGTTCCCAACATTTTTGTACGTAAGAATGTATTCTCGAATACTAGTTCAAAGCACAATCTAGAACACTGTGCACATAATTTAATCTTACAAGGAGTAAATATAATTAGAATTCAAACTTTTACATTACTAAATGCTGATCTATTTTTATTGTGGTTGCACAACAGTGAGCATATGTAAAACAACCTGTGATCACAGTGCTCATTGGGTTGGGAACTCTGATATAGAATAAGAAACATATATTTAAAAATTATTTTCTTACAAATGGTATTCCGAAGAGATTAAAATTTAATATTCCAGGAATGGAAGATCGAAGATGATCCCAAGTACTTAAATTTTCTCCTAAACTATGGGATACAAATCGTCCAGACCCTGGAAAAGTTGATCTGCTCAGAACCATGGGTCGATTTCCAGGAATAATAATTGCAAGTGTTCTGAAAGAATAATTTTTTATTTCAGTATTTTAAACTGCCCTATAAATGATAAAAAATTCTATGGTGATTTATATTTAACAACAAAATATTCTTTAAGAACTGAACTATGAAACAAAAATAATCAAAGATTACTTAATTCCCAAATAAATAAGTAAAAGATATAAAATAATGCATGAAATGTTTGAATAGTGGGACAGCTGCATTTTTTATCGTTTTTATCAAACCTTGTCCGTCTTAATTTACGTATTTTCTTATTTTATCTGATTTGTGGTACCCGCAGTTCGGCAGGAGAAATAAGTTAGATGAGTACTAATTTCAAAAATAAGATGGGATTGACTTGCATAAACACGAAAATGAGGCCAAATCCAAATTTTTTTTTAATTTTAAATAATTGGAGTTGGATCACAATTCAAATAGGACCTTTATATGTAAGATCATAATATTTTATTTATTATTGTAAGATTATATTATACCACAATTTTCATTTTCAACACGGCAACATCCAATTGTTAAATATAACTGAGTTTTAAGTTGAACTAGTTTCATTTCCAGGGCCAACAAACTGATTTATCTCAATATTATGCAAGGAAAAAGCACTGCCGTGCAGAGAAATTTTGTACCAATTTTTTGAAGTAACTTCCTAGAAAAATAATTAATATCACTAAGAAAAAGGGGGGGGGGGACACCAAGCAAGTATTTTGTTCATAGAAATTAGTTTTCAAATTTTAAAAATATGTTAAAAACTGAAAATGTATTCAGATATTTAAAAAAAGATGTTTAACTCAAATATTAATTTTAAAAAAAAAACTCTCTGAAGGCAAAGCAATTAAACTAGCATTATGTATATATAGCACAATAACGACAGAAAGGATAATAAGAAAAAAGAGAAAAAACAAAGAAAATAAGTTTTATTCATTGTGCATAAGCTACAAGTAAATAGAACTCATAAAATAAGTTAAAAATATAGAGAAAACGTGGAAAATAATAAAAATTAATGAAAACAGAAGAAAAATAAAATATTTTTAAAATATATATAGATGCATATTAAAAAGCCGGAAAACAAATGAATGAAAAAATATAATCTCTGCATCTGCTCAAACTATTATATCCGCAAAAATATGTGCTTTCTAATATTGTATCAATATAGCCAAAGCAAAATATACCAATACAATAGAGTGAGGAGCACTAAAAAAGAAAACTGAAACGAAAATAGAACACATAAAGTAAGAAATATACACAAAAACCTATCAAGCAAAAAACAGAAAATACAAAATGAAATCTATAAAGCGAGTAGCGAATTCAAATGAACTTAGACAAACTGGAATCTTTCAAGAATAATTTTAAAAAATTTCGTAATAAGATTGCCAGATTACAAAATACCACCCCTTTCTAAACTAAAAGATGTTTTTCTGAGTTATTACTGCGATCTTAAAACTATCCTTAATTGCAATTTTGATAATTGGGAAATTCTAATTTATTTTCGTCTTTTTAATAATTGTCTTTACAATGGAAAACATTTTTATTCAAATTGATGGAATAGCACAAGGATCTAAGTTTTCATCTCTCTTAGCTAATTTATTTCACTATTATTAACAAAATTATACTCGTAATATTACTCGTAATAATTAAATTTGTTTTTAGATTTATTGATGATTTAAGTATCTTTAATTTTCAAGATTACACAATTTTGTTAAATATTATTTACCCCGAGGAATTAATCTTGCTTTGTAATCATGATGATAATACAGTACAGAACCCGTTATCCGGAAATCAGAAAACCGGAAAACCAAAATACCGGAACGAAATTCGATAAATTTTCCCGCCATTTTAAAAACATAATTTTTTTTTCTTCATAAGAATTTTGGATTTTTTTTTTTCCTGAAAGATGTTTACCGTACCATCATTTTAGAAATAATCATTACTGTATTACTTCATCGTTTTTTCCTCTTTTTAAGATTATTTCCTAATATTTTTTTTTAGTTGGGTTTAATAATAAAAAAAAACGGCTTTTTGTAGCGATTCAGAAAGCCAGAAAAATCAATTATCCGGAATAGCGATGGTCCTGATCGTTCCGGATAATCGATTCCCTACTGTATTAATTTTAATATTTTGGATTTGGGAATTTTAAAAAAAAATTATTTGGTTTGTTGATTTATATGATAAAAGAAATGATTTTAATTTTAATATAAACAAACTAATTACTTGGAATTCTAATGCTTCTAAAAACATTTATTTAAATACTTTTTTAAATCAAATTATTAGAATTACAAGAATATGTAGTAATGTTTATTTATCCAAAAAACAAATAGAAAAATTCTTTCAAAATTTGATTAAAAAAAACAATTGATACCCGACTAATGAAATTAAGTTCTGTATAAAATCATTGAGTTAACTGTATGTTATTATTAATAAATTTACTAAAAACTTCTTTGTTAATCTTTATTTTAACCTTGTACTAATCCAATTCAGACAAATCTGTGGCTAAAAATCTGTGCAAAATGGCAAATCATGCTTCATTTTTTTAAAAAAAATGTTAATTTCATAAAATCATTAAAATTGCAAAATAAAAAACCAACCTCATTAATTTTAAACTTTAAATTATCCAGTATAATATTATTACCTTGCTCACATCCATTTTTGGGCCAATAAAAGGTAACTAACAAATCAAACGCGCTTCAATACTGCAGTAAGGATGTGACATAAAAGATCCCTCTATTTATGCTTCTAACTCTATTTGTCCTTCTGTTTTTGTAATTTGGCAATCTTATTACGAAAATATTTTTAATTATTCTTAAAATTTGAATTCTCTACTCGCTTTATAGATTTCGTTTTGCGTTATGTTCTGTATTTTCTGTGTGATGCTTTATTTCGTACATATTTTTTACTTAATGTGTTCTATTTCCCTTTCAATTTTTTTAGTGCTCCTCACACTATTGTATTGATATATTTTGCATTGGGTATATTGATACAATATTAGAAAGCACTCCTTTTCGCAGATATAATCATGTGAGCTGATGAATAAATTATATCTTTTCATTATTTTGTTTCTGGCTTTTTAATTTTTTTAAAAAAATATATATTAATACCAATCTTCAAATCCAATTAATATTATATATACAACCCCAAATTATAATTATATATTTTTTAATATATATATATGCACAAACAAACTAAATACACATTGAAAACTAATTAAAAAATACAAGATTTACAAATTATATCAAAAATGCTTTAAATAAGGTGTTAAATAAGGCGACAGATAACAACCAACATTTTTAGCAGCCAAAATCTATAAAAAATAAATAAGTACAACCACATTTTTTTTTCAAAATATTTAGTCAGTTTCCTAAAAGAAGAAATAAAAATTTTCTTCTTTTATAATTAAAAAATGCAAGATGGATTAATAATTATTGCTTAACACATCAGTTATTATACTTGACATTAATATTTTGATTTATAAAGCCTTGGCATTATTTTAAGACATCAATTATCAAAATAATAGATAATTCCTTGTGAAAAAACATTTTAATCATTGAAATTGATAGAAATATTTTTTGATTTCTGACATTACTTCAGCATATGCATTGTACAATTTAGCAATAATTAACCACTAACATGAAAACACTTTTATCATTATTATACATATTTCATCATTAACCTTTGAAAGGTAAGAGGAAAAGTTTCTAAATTACAACTTTTTGTATTCCTTTTTAAGAAAACAATCCTACACTATTCAAGTTAATAACAAAAAAAACTGTTATTTGGGATACATATGCTCAATATATACATTAACATTTGATATATACCAAAAAACATAAATTTTTTTTTTTTTTTGAAGTAAGAAATTTTAAAGAACTTTATTAAAAATATTCTATGAAAATAAAAATAAGTAATAAGATAACTTTTAAATAAACAAAATTCCAGAAGGGAAAAAGGCTGACCTGTAAGTTACATTAGATTGGAAATAGCCATATAAATTATGTATATCATAGTGCTTCCCAACACTATGAACAGCATCCATGCAAATAGTTTTTTCAAACAATTTACCACCGAGTATTGAACCGTGCACCCCTGAAAAACGGTAAATAAAAAATATATTATGATTGCAAATCCTTGTTTAAAAATTAAAGTTGAAGTTGTATTATTTTGCAACTTTTTGATAGTTATGGACATTGCAATTATTTTCAAGCCTGTATTAGCTGCAAAGCAAACTAGTTTCTCTAATGTAAGAGAAAAACATTATCAGAATTTTAAGTATTTTTAAAAGCACTTGCGGGCGTATTATGTAAATTTATAAAATCGCGTAAACTTTTGGGTATTTTATAAATACTATAAGTTTATTAAGTAAATTATAACTTAATAGTCAACATTGTTTTTTTTTACAACGCTTGTTTCTATAAAGTATTTCTCTGAATAACAATCTTCCCTATTGCAATATAACATATTTTAAAAAATGAGATATTTATTAAAAAATTTCCAATTGATTTTTAATTGGGACTTAACTTATATTTAATCATTCGATTTTTTGATTAATTTTTTTATTATTTGGTTACTTGTTTTGTTATTTGCTATGTGTCTAGGGCAAAAAAAAATGTGAGCAATGTCATAACAGAGCAATGTCCTTAATTATTATACATATAAGTAGCTGACTATAAATAAGTTTTAATAAAAATACTTACGAAAAAAGTTTTTTTCCTATTAATACACATACAAAACCAACAAAAACTAATCAAAAGAAAAAAATAAATCAGATCAAGTAATAATTGATAATTTGTAAATGAACATTAGTAAATGCGGGATAAGCATGTCATAACGGATAATAAATGGCATACTTCCAAAACAGTTCCCAACTGCAGGCATCTCACTTACACCCAGTTTTTCTCCAAACTATTCTAGATTTTGTGAAGGAAAAGCGACAACATCTCCCATAACAGTGTAATTAAAAATGTAAGTTGCTGTCATATTTCCATAGTCTGATATACAATAAACATTTTATTTTGTTGGCAAGATGATTATAATGTAGGCACCCTAAATAATGTTAAGATCAAAAAACCTTTACTAAAACTTGAAAAGATACTTTTTAAATACGTATAAGCAAAATAAACTCATTCGTTTAAAAAGTTTACAGAAATGAAAATTTTTAATCAAAATTTGATTTCAATTTAATAGAAATCCAAGTTTACAATTTTGGAACTTATCACCTGAAAAAATTTGCTACCAGATGAATAGTTTTGTCCACATTTGAAAAGCTTTAAGAAAAGGATAGTTACTTAAAGTTAAAACAAAACTTAATTTCGAGCCTGTTAGTAATAACCTATTCTGAGGAACGTAAAGGTATATGTGCCAGCATAGGCCATACATAACAAACTTTAGAATCTAGATAAATTGAATATATATGGCCACATCTGTATAATAAGCAAATTTCTTCTTCTTCTTCAGCATGACAGCCCCTTACAGGCCTTGGCTGCCTCAACCATGCGTAGCCTCCAGCGCCTAGCACAAATTTATTTCAAGCAATTGTTATAAAAATTTACTGTTTTATGTTTGCTATTTAAAAATATTTTTTAACTATATTTCTTCTAAATGTTTGATTTTATTCATCTGAATTATAAGAAAAAAACAGTCCACCAGAGTCAAATAAATAACCATTTGGTACACAGCTGATTTTTGATCAGATTTAATCGGGTACCAGCTAACTTATATATTTTATTTCCCTGTAGGTTTCATAAGTAATTTATTTTATCTTCTCAAATTTCTAACTTAAATAGATTTAAAAATGGTTCAAAAACATAACTAAAGGCTTACAAAAAATAAGTTACATTAAAAAAACAAAGATGATTACAAAAATAAGACATAAAAGAAAAGACATACCAACTCCATAAGGTGGATAATTCAAAGAATTTCTACCACAGCCATTCAAAGAACCATCTACAAAATTTGATGGTTCATTCTTATCCTTTAAAAAAATTTAATTATAAGCATACATAAGTAAATATTTACATTTGAGGTACATTTAAATGAAGCACTTTTATTCATACACATTCTACATTATGTTTTCTTAAAATGCAAGCATTTTAACCAGGGGAAAAAAATCAGAACTACTACACAAGTAAAGAAGTTTCAAAATATAAAGAAAAACCCCAAAGAAAGAATTGGGGACATTATTATTATTAGCATTGAAAATACTTTCTCACTTTTTATAAAGTGCATACAATTACATATCATTTATTGCATTAAATATTAATGCATTTTAATCTTATAAAGAAAATATCCATCTGTAAATCACTCATAATCTTTGAATCTAGGGAAGAGATTGAGGGAACAAATAAATAGAAATAAATTCAATAAAGTGAAAAAATGTAAAATTGTGAGTCATGAGTTTTAGAATATTTAATATAAAGCATATATGTAGCAAACAAAAAGATTAATGTTTAATTTTTTACAATACCGTTAAAATAGTTCTTACAAAAGAGAACGATGCACGGATTGATCATATCCCTACAAACTTTAAAAAAAAGTGCAATGTTTAAAGATAATTTTAAGTGATAGTAAATACTTACAAGCCAAAGTCCATCAAATTTGACAAACTTCCTGAATTCGGTGCACATTTGTGTCCAGTAAGGTCTAACATCTGGATTTGTAAAATCTGGATAGTATACTTTTCCCGGCCACATCTAAACATCAAATAAAACACCAATAAATACAACTCATGAACAAAGAAATGATGGAACACATTTGATTTGATTTTATCAGCAGATGATCACATTTTACATCAAATTTACGGTAAAATGTCTAATTCTACTTTTTTTTAAAAATTAAAATGTAAAAGAACGAATTGGAATTACATACACACATATTCCTTTTAACTCTGAATTGGAGCATAGTGTGTCAATTATAGCTCTATATCTCACTATATTTGTGGCCAGATATTTTGTCTCTTTCCATGTCTTGCCTATTGTTTTCAATTCCTTTATAATCACTCTTCGCCAAGTATTTCTAAGTCTTCTTCTATTGCTTCAGAGATTTCCAAATAACTGTTAATAACTTGTTTTAAATTTCAAAAACTTATTCCACTTAAAATTTCTCAAGTTTAAGCAGAGTATGATAAACCCATTTCTATAAGCGTTTTATATTTCCTGTGCAAGTGGTTCCTGTGTTGCTTTTCTGAGCATTTCTGTGTTACAAATTTAATGGAATCACTTGATACAGTTTCTCCTTAAACTGTTGTTAATAAATACTTAAAGTTTTTAATTTTATTTTCATTGCAATGCCATGTCTCCAATCCATAGAGTAGGACAAATTTAACATTAGTATTGAAAATTCTAATTTTTGTATCATTTGCTGTGTTTGTTTATTGAGGATAGCATAACTGCTTAGGGATTTGTTTAATCTATTTACTATACCTTCATCAGTTCCTCCTTTGCTGTCAATTATACTAATTTTTAGTTTATTTTGCAAAATATATGATCTAATTGTTTTGGATTAATTTTCAAAATTATAGTTTTATTTTCATTGATAATATGCTCCATTTTCTTTGCCTGTATGTTTAAAATACTTGTATTTGCTCTTGAAGGGTTATAAATTAATGTTTTACTGTCATTACTTAGAAAACATATTAAATGGCTACTATTTAAATTTTTTTTAAAATTCACGAATTTTTTTTCAGTTGTTGCCTTTTAGTTATCACAAATTTAAAAATGGTACAAGAAAGTTAAAGTCTCTAAGATAAAACTCTTACATATAACTATTTTCATACAGGTATAGGACAAAATAATAGGAACACCTGTGAAAAAATGAAAATATTTTATTAATAAGGAGTTGGGCCACCTTTGGCCAGGATGACAGCTTGCATTCAGCGTGGGATTGACAAATAAAGGTCTTGAACAAAGTTTATTGGAATTTGCAGCCATTCCTCTTGCAGGGCAGTCTCGAGTTCAGAGAATGTGCGTGGAGGAGGAAACCGAGCACGGACTTTTTTCTCCAAAAAACCCCACAAAGGCTCAATGATATTGAGATCAGGGGACTGAGGACACCACGTTAGAAGGTCAACTTCATCATTATTCTCATTTAACCATGTTTGAACATAGTGAGACGTGTGAACAGGGGCGTTGTCATCTTGGAACACAGGACGTTCTCCCGGAAAGAGAGTATGAAGCATAGGGTAAAGATGATCTGCAAGAATGCTTCGGTAATGGTCCTTTTTGACCACCCCCCTCAAGACAACGAGAGGCCCCAATCCACAAACAGATATAGCGCCCCACACCATCACAGAACCTCCTCCATGTTTCACGGTTGGAACCAGGCAGTCAACATGAAATGCTTCTGCCAGCGTTTGCCACATGAACACACTTCCGGTGGTCTGGAATAGTGTAAAGGAGGATTCATCAGACCAGATGACTTATTCCCATTGCAGTTGTGTCCATTTTAGGTGGTCTTGGCACCACTGTAGTCTCTTCAAAGCATTCCGCGCCGAAACTAACTGTTTTGGAATAGCTACTCTGCCATGAATGTTAGCAGCATGCAACTCCCGTCGAATAGTTTTCATGGATACAGGGTTCTGAAGGTGGGTATTCACCTCGGATGTTATCACCGGCAGTGTAGTCTTCCGTTTTCGAGCGACTATCCTCTTCAACACCCGTCTATTACGGTCTGACAACTTCGACTTCCTGCCGCTGTTGTGCCTCACCGAAGACACCTTACCAAACTTTGTGTATGCCAACAGAGTCCTTGAAACACCTACAAGGTTTGCTGTTCTGGACACGGACGCTCCAGTCAGGCGAGCTCCGATTATCATGCCTCTTTTAAGGTCAGAGAGGTCGGACATAATCTCGTTTTGTTACAAACAGATTTTTCTCTTGCAAATCTCACACTGCCAAATGCTAGACAGATACCTTGCCTTTCATCACCACTAGGTGGCACATTGTTGCGACATGTGCCCGCCGCTTATTGGACGGTCAAAAAGGACTCCATTCTTTCACAGGTGGTCCTATTATTTTGTCCTATACCTGTATTATTTATTTTAGTTTTATAAAGAATTTTAAATTCTATATTTAAGAGTCGATTTGAATATTTATATTCAACAGTGTACTTTGATTATGCAAATCAGTACGCTGTTTGTAACTGTAAATTAAATATGTGATTTGTAGTACCATAAATGCTAGTATGTGATTTGTTAACTAAGTATTAATAAAATTTGATTACATTAAAAGTTTCTCATTTAAATAAATATTAATGTTTTACTGTACTCATTTATAGAGAAAATTGTATGGCTACAGTTATTTTTATATTAAATTTTATTACTATTAATCCAATTATTAAAACTAGGTTGTATTTAGGAACTATTTAATTATTTTAATATTTAATATCCCATTTTGAAAAATATCTTCCACTTGGATTGAAAGAAATCAGTTTCTTTCCGAGCTGGTTTTTCCCACTGGGAAAGAAACTCACCATCCCTGGTTAAAACAAAGGTTGGATGCATTTTAAATTATTGCGACACATCACATTTCATTAAAACAAACCACACAACATTTTCATAATTAGTTCTGTTTCATCATGCACATAGAAACATTAAATGTTTTAAATTATATGTTCCATTAAAAACTAAACAAAATAATAGTGGTATATAATACTAAAACTAAAGGAAATTTAAACAAACCTGTCCTTCAAGGTAAGAATCATTAACTTTAACAAAAATTCCTCTGTTCATTCCTACATCCAAAGCAGGGTAATTTGATTCAAGTGTTTTATTGCTAGCCACAACTGGGTCCTAAAAAAGAGAATAAGAAAATCATCATCGAACATAAATTTTAACTGAATTACTATTTTTATTCAATATAATATATAATGATAAAATCGTATAATTAAGTTGAATCTATTTTTAAAAAAGGAGAGATTAAATTGCATTATAATATACATTTAGAATAGGTGGCAATTGTACATTTATATAGTTACAGCAGTTTATTTATCCTCGGATGTATTTAAAACAAGAATAATTTGTACTTTAATTTTTGGAAAAGTAGAAAAATTTCCATTAATTTGTTTAATAAAAATGGTTTTTTTTTATATCTAATTCAAGGAAGGGATAATTACATAGCTATATAAACATAGTATTGATTCATTAATGGTATATCATTGCTTGAGAAAAGATTGTTATTGTCACAAGATTATTATAAAACTACCTTAGACATCTAAAATACAAATGTTTTCAAAAAGAAAAATTTAATTGTAGCTGAGCTACTAATTTTCCAAGCTTCAATTTATGTTTATATTTATATTTAAAAATAAAAATTGGTACTCTTGCAATTATTATAAGTTTTTAATTAAAAATTTAAAGATAATAAATAAAAAAAAGCTACAAGAAAAAGAGCTGAAAGATTTAGTTTTTTCAGTTCTTAATAAAAATTGAGGTCAATAAGAACAAAATTCAATGATTAAATTTCTGGAAAAGTAAAAAATTTCCATTAGTTTGTTTCATAAATGTAGTCTTTTTCTATAAAATTCTACGAGGGTATATTCACGTATTTAGCTATATAAACATAGTATTGATTCATTAATGGAATATAATTGCTTGGGAAAAGATTGCTATTGTCTCAAGATTATTATAAAACTACCTTAGACATCTAAAAGAAAATTTTCAAAATTAAAAATATAATTATAGCTAAGTTTTTAATTTTTCAAGCTTTAATTTTTATATATATACACATATATGTGTGTGTGTTTAACAAACAAATGTTTTCAAAAAGAAAAATATAATTGCAGCTGAACTTCTAATTTTTCAAGCTTCAATTTATGTTTATACAGTACAGAACCCGTTATCCGGAAATCAGAAAGCTGGAAAACCAAAAAACCGGAACAAAATTCGATAATTTTTTTTAATTTTTTCCTCATAAGATTTTAGGATTTTCTTTCTTTTTTGAAAGATATTCACCATACCATCATTTTAGAAATAATCATTACTGTATTACTTCATCGTTTTTTCTTCTTTTTAAGATTATTTCCTAATATTTTTTTTTTTAGTTGGGTTTAACAATATAAAAGAAACGGTTTTTTGTACCGATTCAGAAAACCGGAAAAATCAGTTATCCGGAATAGCGATGGTTCCGATCGTTCTGGATAATCAGTTCCCTACTATATATAAAAAAACAACTCTCTTGCAATTATTATTAGTTTTTAATTTAAAGTTTTGAGGAAATAAATTAAATAAAAGGAACAAGAAAAAAATGAAAAGATAGCTGAAAGTTGTGGTTTAAAGTTCTTAATAAAAATTAAGGTCCTGAATAACAAAATTGAATATAAACTTTTTAAAAAGCTTACTGTTAGTAACAAACAACTACACTATATAAATAGTAAAATAAGACTATCAACTACGCTGTTTTTCACTCAACAAATAAAGTTACACACTTTTTACTTTAGAAAAAGAAATTATCTTGAAGTGAGATCTAGGAAACATGTAGTCAAATAGCAAAGTACAATTATAAAATTTACAGGGTGTATTAAAATAACCACACTTAACATATATTTTTAAAATCAATGTCAAAAATTATGTGAACAAAACTGGGTAACTGTTCATGTATAAAATATGAGCATCAAATAAAAAATAATTTTAATATAAAATAAATCATATCAGAAAAATTATTACCAGCAGAATGATAACTTTTTTGCCCTTCTCATGAAGTTCATCAATGAAAACTGGTAAATCTTGAAAATGCTTGCTATCATATGTGAAATCTTTGTAGCTGCTCATGTAATCTATGTCAAAATATTGAACATCCTAAAATGAGGCAAATCAAATAAAAAATATAGGTATAAAATTAAACTTTTCTCTCTTATAAATAATGAACAAATTATGTTGTACATTAACAAGACATATCTCTATTGATAGTTCAAAGTATCTTAATGTTATTAGGTTACTATATATATATATATATATATATATATANAAAACAATTGCGAAAACTAATTTGTGAGCGGATTTATTAATAAACTATGTTTGAATTTAAATGCTATTTCATGCAGAGGAAAATATTAATTTTAATATTAATTACAGTAATGGCAAGTTTCTTAAACTTTCAACTACAAAAAAAGATTGCAAATTACTTATTGATCAATTGGTCAAAAAAAGTACACATTTAAATATTGTTTAATCTTTATGAATAAAATGAATTAATGTAAGATAAATAAAGAAGAGATAGGGAATGTCTAGATTCCCTTAATGAATAGTTAGTAATATAAAAATTTAAATAAAATATTATACTATACAGCAAAATATAAAACTATATCATAATTTAAATATGAAAAACTTAGCAAATCTGACCATAGAAATCTTAAACTAATAACTTTACAAAAATGAATTAGTGATTGATCCTCTAATAAACCAGAATTCAAAAGTAAGTAAAAATGATAGTAAAAGCATTTATTTTCCTATCTTGTTTTCAGAATAAAACATCCATGACTTCACTACTTATTAACAGCTATAACTCTCATTCTATACAGCCACTATGAATAAACCTAAACAGCATGAACAAAAATGTGAGAATTTAAATAAAAACCCAGCAAATTTTAAAACTGGTCTTCATTTTTGCTTAATTCAATTTACATACTTATACTAGATTAAACCTAAACAACATAATTAGAGCACACACTTCACCTAACTATGGCCAATTCCCAGCCCTATTTTTTAGAGCTTTTATCTTTTAATGGCCAAGATATGTAACCCCCCCCCCTCCTGGTCAGATGACGTGGAGAACTGGTAATTCTCTCTCCAAACTTCCATGGACTACAACCAATGACGGGACTTTCCGCCACAACAAATTGACTGTGCAACTTGCTGCATATACATGCTGGCTGTCGTCTGCCAGGACTGAACTCATTTTACATAGCAGTCTAACCAGACGAGTGAGATACGCCTTGTGCAGCTGGAGTGCTTAATTAGAGCACATATAATGATACTGCGCATATGATATAAAAACAGATATACAGTAGTTTCGATTGCGTGAACAAGGACTTTTCTCAGTCTTGAAATACAGAACAAATGCTAATGAATGATATTCATTCTGTGTTTTGATACAGAAGAAAGTTCTTGTTTATAAAACCAAAACTATGACATGTCTATTTTCAAATAAATTTTAGAGCTCTCTTTTATATATATATTACTAAGTATCCCTTATCTTCATTTAGACAAACACAACTATTTTTTTTCCCTGTATAAGAAACAGTTGTGTATATATGTTAATAAGTTGTGATAGTTACATAGATTTAACTCAATATATATATATCAGAAACAGTATGACAAGGTAATATTTGCCCTAGTACCACACACAGGAATTTTCTTCTCTTTTTGGATTACACTACAAAATAAAAGCCAAACACCAACTATGTGGATCAGCTACTTCAATATTTGTAACCTGTGTGTTTAACTAGCTCAGTTCAAATACTTTAGGAATGTCAAACTTAAGTAGGTTCATCTTACTCCACTCATGTCCATTGCCACTTTTTAGCAGAGTAAAATAAGTGCAAAAAATAAATAAATAGAATAAAAAGTTAAAGAACTTTTTTTAATACTCATACTAAGTTTTTTAAGCTGTAATCTAAAATTTGACAGCTAGTAATCAAATTTATTGACTCATTTATTCAAAAATATACGTTTTCGATATATGTATTAACGTAAATTAAGTTCTACTTCAGACTATAAAAAATGTTGAGTGGTGTATTAGTATTATTGCTTTTTATGGAGGATTAATAATGTGGTGTCATCATATTGTATGATAGCACCAATGAGATAGATGTCTTACAGTCACATCACTCCAAATGCAAGCATAGTAGCACACAGATAATCTTCAATTATTTTTACAGGAGCATGAATTGTTCTAACTTTGTAATCCCTTAATTCTTTTTCACATGTTATCGTCCTGTATAAAATAACGTGGTATAAATACATTCTAGAATCATGCAATGCTTAATGACGAAGTTAATTTAAATAATGAATCATTTAAAAGTAAAATAAAAATATTTCTAAAGCAGAATTAAAAGTGCTTAGAGCATTACAATGAGAGGTCTCATTTTCAAATAGCTCTTCTGAGCAATTTTGGTGAAAATCACCATAATTTACAATTTGGTAATCTAAGCACTAATTAATTTCTTTGTATTGTGTTGCATTCTTTTGCATAATCCAGAAACTTATAAAGTATCTCTTTGGAAACAATGCAAAGTAGTAGTTTTAAATAAAAAAAAGTCTCCTTTGGAAAGAGTAGGGCTTATTGTTATAACTCCCAAGCCCTTAAATTAGTTTAGTATTCCGTCAGACTGTCACAAATTGGAAGAGTTTATACAAAAAAATTTCAGAGAATTGCACCTACGAAGGGCACTTTTGCATCCATATTACGCTGTGTAACTGTTTTCACGTCATCAATAGAGTTGTAGCCCCATCTAGAAAGTTGAAAACCAAGAGCCCAATATGGTGGCATAACAGGTAATCCTATGATCTGTAAGTAATTTGGAAAAATAAAACTAAATCTAGAAACATTAATAGTTATTGTAAACTGCATATTTAAAATGATTAACATAATGCATAAAGTATGGATGAAATATCATTATTTTTTACAAGTCAGTACATGTTTTCTGAATAATAACAAGTTTAGCTTCAAAAAAGAATTTTTTTTTCTCCTACATATCCTCATTTTTAATAAATATTTCACAGAAATGCATCACACCATTTACAGTTTCAGAATAAGAAGACAATACAATATTTTATAAGATCACAAAATAATTTTTTTTTTTTTTAAATGGAAAAACATAATAAACAAAAAAGTTAAAAGAATGTGTTTGAAAACAATTGCGAAAACTAATTTGTGAGCGGATTTATTAATAAACTATGTTTGAATTTAAATGCTATTTCATGCAGAGGAAAATATTAATTTTAATATTAATTACAGTAATGGCAAGTTTCTTAAACTTTCAACTACAAAAAAAGATTGCAAATTACTTATTGATCAATTGGTCAAAAAAAGTACACATTTAAATATTGTTTAATCTTTATGAATAAAATGAATTAATGTAAGATAAATAAAGAAGAGATAGGGAATGTCTAGATTCCCTTAATGAATAGTTAGTAATATAAAAATTTAAATAAAATATTATACTATACAGCAAAATATAAAACTATATCATAATTTAAATATGAAAAACTTAGCAAAACTGACCATAGAAATCTTAAACTAATAACTTTACAAAAATGAATTAGTGATTGATCCTCTAATAAACCAGAATTCAAAAGTAAGTAAAAATGATAGTAAAAGCATTTATTTTCCTATCTTGTTTTCAGAATAAAACATCCATGACTTCACTACTTATTAACAGCTATAACTCTCATTCTATACAGCCACTATGAATAAACCTAAACAGCATGAACAAAAATGTGAGAATTTAAATAAAACCCAGCAAATTTTAAAACTGGTCTTCATTTTTGCTTAATTCAATTTACATACTTATACTAGATTAAACCTAAACAACATAATTAGAGCACACACTTCACCTAACTATGGCCAATTCCCAGCCCTATTTTTTAGAGCTTTTATCTTTTAATGGCCAAGATATGTAACCCCCCCCCCTCCTGGTCAGATGACGTGGAGAACTGGTAATCCTCTCTCCAAACTTCCATGGACTACAACCAATGACGGGACTTTCCGCCACAACAAATTGACTGTGCAACTTGCTGCATATACATGCTGGCTGTCGTCTGCCAGGACTGAACTCATTTTACATAGCAGTCTAACCAGACGAGTGAGATACGCCTTGTGCAGCTGGAGTGCTTAATTAGAGCACATATAATGATACTGCGCATATGATATAAAAACAGATATACAGTAGTTTCGATTGCGTGAACAAGGACTTTTCTCAGTCTTGAAATACAGAACAAATGCTAATGAATGATATTCATTCTGTGTTTTGATACAGAAGAAAGTTCTTGTTTATAAAACCAAAACTATGACATGTCTATTTTCAAATAAATTTTAGAGCTCTCTTTTATATATATATTACTAAGTATCCCTTATCTTCATTTAGACAAACACAACTATTTTTTTTTCCCTGTATAAGAAACAGTTGTGTATATATGTTAATAAGTTGTGATAGTTACATAGATTTAACTCATTTCGGGAAACATGAGAGTAAAGAAACATTTATATATTTTCTCTTTTCTGAGAAAGAAATTAATCTGCTAAATTTTGTTTAAAAATTCTAGCAAATAGTGCCTAACCTTTTTATCAATCCAATGATTTAAAGTTTTATTTCACTAATTTATATATTTTTAAAGTTTGTGATATAATTAATATCTTGGCAATAAAGTTATTTTCCAACATCCTTAAAAATATAATGCATCAAAAAATATTTTACAACAGTAGAAATAAAGCGGAAAACTGATACCTAAAATTACAACAATTGTAGATAAAGTAAGAAAACCTTGCAATACAATCAATTGATAGTGGATTTTAAAGATAAGTGTTGCTTTTAAGTTAAATACTGCAGTTTATTATAATTGAAATTCACAGTGTTTGTTCATACTTTAAAAAATGCATATTTCTGTTAATGTAATTTTTTTTTTTTACATCCTCTTTTAAATTTGGAGAAAAAGGGACAACAACAATATTTATTTTGCTAGAAAGAAAGTCAAGAAATATTTGTGACATCAATAAAAAACTAAATATAATAAATTCTTTTAATAGAAGAAATTTTTATACACATAATTTTTGTTTATTCTTTGCTAGTTTTTCTGGGAATGAATTGTAATAATTTTCAAAATGATTTAATACTTTGCTTATTTGTAACTAGACGAATTGATATGTTTTTAATTATAGGATATTTAAAAATACAATAAAAGATAGACCATCTAAAATTCCAATAAGTGCAAAACTCAAGTAACCAAAATCTTCAAAAAATCTATAAAAATTTAAAGAATTTTGTCAATACAGTTCAAGCGGAATTTCGAACATGTACTATAAACTAGCAAAGAATCACATATAAATCTTCCCTCTTTAAATTTCATTTAAATATTAAACAAGAATTTAGTTAATTTTTTTTAACTTTACTTCAAAATATTGTTTCACTACTTCTTCTGGTGATGGTCCCATCAATATATAGAAGTCAAGAATACCACCAATGGTTCGGAAGGTTAAGGCTGGTGCAGGTTGAAGAATAATTTCTGCAATGCATAAGAATCATATTTAAATGTCATAAGCCTGGTGCTAAATATCAATATCTTATGTTATATCATCTAGATCTAGTTAAGAAATTTAAATCATGAAATTAAAAAAATTGAAATATATTAAATCATTATAATATAGACCCTATTGTGGCAACAAATAATACCATTTTCTCTCGCAAATCACAAGTAGTTTATGTTTACACTGAATAAAGAAATGAATATTTAAGTATTTTGTACGCAAAGTTAAACTAAAGAACAGTAACTTAAGCACTGGAAGTGTCGGCGAAGTATTTGAAATTTAAATGACATTTCTGTGAAGAAAAATCAAAAAATAAACAATGAATAAAAAAAAATAGACAACAGAACAATTTTTTACTTATTAAAAACATTGTTTCCTAAAAATATAATATAAATTATAAATTATATTACCCATAGCATTGCTGTTTAGTAAAAAAACACCATGAGCATTTCCATCATCTTCAATATTCATATAAAAAGGATGAACGCCATAAAGATTACTCTCAGTCTGAAATTAAGAAGAAGAAAAAAATACTAAAATCATCAAGTAAATGTATTTTTACGACAAAAATCTGTAAAATCTTTTTACTAAAAATATTTTTACAAATCAAAAGTAAATCAAAGAGAATTGATAGCCAATTGAAAATTTGCTAACATAAAAGTTGAATTAATTTTTTATTAAAATTAATTACTTTCCCTAATTCCTTTAAAAACTCATTACAGAAAACTTAATTTTATTACAAAAAAATAATATTAATAATATATAATTTATAACTTAAAATTTTTGGGGACTTAATAAGGTAAATCAAATTAAGACTCTTTGTACTTGAATAAAGAAACATAATAATGAAAATTAAAAATAAACATTATAAAATATTTGGCTACAGGTTTATAACAGTTACTTTCAACACAAATTGTTTTAATTTTAAAGGCAAAATTTTGATAACTAGTCCTGATTATTCCTCCCTCATAACATAACACACTATGTTTTTGCACACTTTCAATTTTGATTTGAACTTTCTATAGTTTCTTAGGTATTCATGAAATAAAAGAAAAAATGCTACTTCTGAAAAATATCACTAATTTTAAGTTAATTCCTTACAAAAAAAAATGCAAAAGGAATAATTAGAACTTATTATAAAAGTTTTACCTTGATATAACTATATCAGGACAATCATTTTTTTTTCAAACCACTTTGATCAAATTAAGCAAAAAAAATATATATATTTAAAAAAAAAAAAGAATAAAGACTTTAAATTCGATAGAAAAATAGCAAATAATTTTTATAACATATAAATTATAAATAGCTTATAATACAGATTTAATTTAAGATATTGTTTAAAATTTACAACTTAAAATTCTATGGGCAATTATAATGTTCAATTTTTCAGACAAAAACATTAACAGCTAATTCGAAATTTGTGCACATAGTCCTATAAAAACTTGCAATTGCCTCAAAGACAACAGAAATAAAAATTTAAAATATTAACAAGAAAATTATCAATGAATTTATAAATAATAGTCCAAAAAATAAACAGAATGATACCCTAACTGTCATTAATTATTATGGTTCTGGTCAATTTAGAAGTTAAAAAATACACCAATTAGGAGCCGCACATTAATATTAAGATGAGAAAAAACAAAAACATTATTGAAATCCAATGAATTATAAAGAGAAAATAAGATTAAAAAAAGAGCATCAAAACATGTCTGATTGCAGGAAAAAAACTGAAAGGAGGGCCTTTAACAATTGTACTACAAACAAACTGGTTTTAATGTTCTAGACAATTCATCTGTTTAAAATGTTTCACATCCTTATTAAATAATATTTAATATATTTTAAATTACATTTTATATTTAAATTTCGTTTTGATGTTTTCCTGTGGAATTCATAGAACTATTCATTGAATGTTGATTACAGAAACTATTCATTGGATGTTGAATACTTTTTTGTTTTTTCCTTGCTCTCAAAAAACATATGTTAAGGGCAGAGAACAGCTACATATTATCTACAAAAACCATTTAACATTGTAACGATTTAAGCATTGTTGAATCATTAAATACTAACATCTGTTGCACCATCACGAGCAAAGAGGCTCAATTTCTTCCAGTTCACGTCGCGTTTGTATTTTGAAGTGGTATGTTCTCCAAATCCATAAATATTTGAACTTGCCAGCATTGTAGAGATCTGAATGTAATGCTCCGAAAAAATCATTCCTGGAATATTGGTGTCAAAACTGTAGGGGAAAAAAGAAAGCATTCTAATATCATTCAAAGAATTGTAATTGAAAGAAGAAGAAAAAGAGTACTTCAAAGATAGCTGCATGCAAATAAATTCAAAAAAAAATTTTTCTTTACTTTTTTGTAACACAAAATAAAATAGATGTTCCAAAAAATAAAAATTAAATAAAAAAAAAAAACTTAGATTTACAGCACCTGGCAAACAGAAAAGTATTGAAATAAGTTATAAACAATGTGTCTGCTTTGAAAGTTGCAGAAGGGTATATGGCTGATGTTTTCTAATAAATAAGTGTTTATTAATTAGAGTTTTTATCGTATTTATAAGGTTTATCTTTTAAACGCTTCAACATCTAATTCTCGTTGCATAGTTCCATTTTTAGAAGATGCAAAAAGTCTTTGGTTCCTTACCAAAGAATAAATTTTAAAATATTTAATTTTAAAATAAAAACTACATTTTTAAACCAACATAACTTAGATATTTCAATTCACTATTTAAGTAAAAATAAAATATGTTTTTCTGTTGCCAAATTGAACAAAAAATATGGGTTTTTTTCAGCATTAATTACATCTGCTGCTAGACCTGAAAATAGCCACTTACCACATGACGAGTAAAGAAAAAAAAGTGGCGACTTGAATTAAATAAACAACCAGTCACTTTTTCTATTCCTTTTTTACTGTGCAATGAATGCACAGTAAAAAAAAAACATTTTAAAAAAGCATGCTGAGGTTAAGTCTGTATGTTTAACTAAATCTTGTCACATATTTATATTATTTTTATTGCTGAATTAACTTTTTATGGTCGAAGATTATTTCTAATATGATTCTTTTCTTGAAATATATAATTTAATCCTAGCAACGAAAAAAAAAAAAGAAAAATGAGGCTATTAAATTCAAAAGACCAGCCAGTATTGGTCACCAACTCATTAGATTTGAGATAAAAAGGGCTACTAAGTTATTAGTCTACCGGCCAGTGGCTACTAACTGAAAATTTGAATTTTCAGGTCTTTACATTATTTTACAGAGCTCATTCTAGGCAGAAAAAAGGGCAGGGTGCAAAAGTTTAAAAAAAGGGCATTATTATTCTAAAAAGGCAATAATTTCTCTCTGTGGGCTTTACACGTTCTATTAAATAACATTGTCAATTAGTAAAAGAATTTTTTTAAAACTTTACTAAAAGTAGCAAAGCAATCATATTAATTACTAATTTTTATTAATAAATTAACATATATATCGAGTTAATGAGCTAATTAGCTTAGTAATTTATTTAAAATGCATGCATATATTAATAAAATTATAAATGTATGTTTTTTGAGTGTCTGTAGTTATGATTTATTAATTAAAATGATTAATAATAATTATGATTTAATAATAGTGGAAGTAACTGCAAACTTTCAACGACAAGTGCAACAAGGGGGTGTGATGGGTATTTTTCCTTTCCCATATAAATCTATGTATTGACAGCAATGACAAACTAAATAAAAAGAGTTAAAAACAACAAAAGTTTAAGAAATCCATTGTAGAGTTTGGGGAAAAAATAAAGACGGGTTAAGGAAAGAAAGGGTATGGAGTCTATTACATCAGGACACTAATTTACTTCAGGGGCAACAGGGTGGATTCTTTTGACTAAAAGGGCAGCAGGGTGCTGCGCCCTGTTTACCCTGCCTAGAATGAGCTCTGTATTTTACATTACTTCGTATGGTACATTATTTTAAGAATAAAAACATTTTCTCTACCATCAGCTAATTTTTTTTTTTCATTATCTCTATGTTGTTATCTCTATGTCTCCAGTTGCACCAAAAAAAAAAATTTAAAAACTAATTGGACAAAATGAAACAAATAAATGCAACATCACAAATTATAAAAATACAAATTACACACAAAAAACTACTACAGCTCTTTTTGAATTTATGTTATCAAATATGCTAGTTTAAGCATATAAATTCCTTAACACATGGCAGATATGACTTTTCACTGAATTACTATTCCTAATTTATTAATCTGTAATACTTGATCAAGAATCTAAAGATAATAAAAATAAAATTACTTATTAAAATTTTTTTTAAATTACAATAAAGCAAACAAATGCAAAATAAAATTTTTCATCACAGTTACTATCTCATTTCTCCTGAAAAAAGAACTAAACTACAGATAGGCAAATGAATATTCAGTATAATCATACTATACAACTATAACGTGGACTTTAAATGTTAGAAGTTTTTTTTTTCATTTACAACAAAGCAAACAAAATTAAAATAAAATATTTTTCATTACATCACTGTTCCTGTGTCATTCCTCTTGACAATAACACCGAACTGTGGATCATTTATAAAATCTATTGAATATTCAGCATAATCAGGAGATTCAGCTGGTGGAAGTGGAACTTCTATAGGGACTTCAAATCGCTTTTTTGCTTTATCTGCAAACTTCAAAAGTTAAATTGAAATAAACTGAGGAAATTAGAAAAAATTATTCAAAGTTCTCAAACAACAGATTATATTATAGCTTATCAATACTAATTTGGTAATAATATATATATATATACAAGACATATCTTTAAAATTATAAAAAGACATGCTGTATCAATGCAAATTTCTAGTACTATGCAATCATTTACAGTTCGAATTATCGACTATAATAAGCAAACAGTGTTAATTTCATTTACAAATTTAGCTTTAACTTTACCTGGATGTTTTTGAAAGAAATTTTTAGAATGCAATATAATAAAAAAGATTCAAAAACTCCTAACAGAGTTAGGTAATTGAGGCAAAGACCAACAATTAAAAAAAGGGGGAGGTAAAAATTAAAATAATCAGCAAAACATAACTGATATTTTTTTTTTTTTTTTAAACGTGGGGAGACAAATTTAATAGGAAAAAATTGCTCAAAATATAATGTTCTCCTGATGCCATAATAAGCATTACAAATTTCCCAGCTTTTAAAATTTCTTTAATTTAATTTTTTTAATCGTTCCTAATCCAATTTCAATTAAATTAAACATATTATTTAATTTTTTATATTTTACAAAATGCAAATATAAATATTTTTTTCTCTTCTTAACAGACAACGTAACGCCTAACTTTTTTTAGAATTCAATACAAATGTATAACTCATTAATTCACTCTTGCAAATAAATCAAACATCAAAATCTATTTTTAACTCTTTATTCCTTAAGTTAATTTATTTCTCATATTAGGTATGTAGTTTCAGTTACAGGGTTATATTAATTCTCATGGTCTTTTTAGTGATTAAGCTGTAGCCAAATTATTTAAAATTTAATATTAAAAACGCAGGGTAGGCTTTGTTTTTGGTTCTTTTATCTCTCGATAAATCACCAACTATGAACCTCTTTCCTAAGCAGTGGCGTGCCAGCCGGGGGGGCAGTCGCCCCCTCTGAAATTTTAGTGAGGGGGCAAACAATATATTTCGCCCCTCCTGAAATTTAAACATTCGAGAAAATAAAATCAAGTAAAATTCCGATTAAAAAATAGTCAAAAAGTAAAATTTTAGAAAAAAGTAACTTTTTAGTTGAACTTTGTAGCTATTTTCCAAGTAAAAAACCTAATATTCCTCTGAAATTTAAGTAAGAGGTTATAATAAATTTAAAGGCCAGAAATAAAGCCAGGTAAAATTGGTAATTTTAGGAAAAAACAAAAATTTTTTTTTCAATTTTGTAGCTTTTTTTCAAAAAGAAAACCTTATTGTCTTCTGAAATTTAATAAAAGGACCTATATTGAATTTCGCCCCTTCTGAAATTTAGACATTCACAAAAATAAAGTCAATTTAAATTAGTAAACTTAAAGGAAGAAAAAAACTTTTTTCAACTTTGAAGCGATTTTCTAAGAAAATTTTTTTATTTAATTCTGAAATTTAAATGAAGGGTGAATAATGTACTTCGCCCCTCTTGAAATTTTGCCATTCGTGATAATAATGTCAAGTTAAATTGATAACTTTAGAAAAAAATAACCATTTCTTTTTCAACTTTAAGGTTATTTTCGAAATCAAAAATTACTTATTTTACTGTGAATTTAAATTGAGGGGGCGAATAACGTGCTTCGCCCCTTCTGAAATTTAGCCATTCTTGAAAACATAGTTAAGTTCAATTGGTAATTTTAAAAAAAGAAAAAGAACTTTTTCTCAACTTTGAAGTTTTTATAAAAAAAATGTAAGAAAAAGAACACTATTTTCCTTTAAAATTCAATTGAGGGGGCGAATAGTGTGCTTCGCCCCTTCTAAAATTTAGCCATTCGTGAAAATAAAATTAAGTTGGTAATTTGGAAGAAGAGAAAAAGAACTTTTTTTCAACTTTAAAGTTTTTTTTTTTTTTTTAAAAAAAAACATTATTTTTGTCTTAAATTTAATTGAAGAGTTTAATTGAAGAGGCGAATACTTAGCCCTTTATAAAATTTAGATATTCGTGAGAATGAAGTCAAGTTCAATTGGTAACTTTAGAAAAAAAGATCCATTTCTTTTTCTACTTTAAAGCTATTTTCGAAATTAAAAACTTTATTTTACTGTGAATTGAAATTGAGGGGGCGAATAATGTGCTTCACCCCTTCTGAAATTTTGCCATTCGTGAAAATAAAGTTAAGTTAAATTGGCAATTTTAGAAAGAAAAAAAAGAACCCTTTTTCAACTTTATTTGTTTTTTTGTTTTTTTTTTAAAGCACTATTTTCTTCTGAAGTTTAATTGAGTGATATTTAGACATTAGACCCCTTTTGATATTTAGACATTCATGAGAATGAAGTCAAGTTAAATTGATAACTTTAGGAAAAAAGCACTATTTTTTCCCCTTTAAAGCTATTTTCTAAGTAAAAAACTTTATTTACCTCTGAAATTTAATTGAAGGGTGAAAAATGTGCTTCGCCCCTTCTGAAATTTAGCCATTCGTGAAAATAATGTCAAGTTAAATTGATAACTTTAGAAAAAAAGCCCTATTTTTTTTTCTACTTTAAAGTTATTTTCGAAATCAAAAACTTTATTTTACTGGGAATTTAAATTAAGGGAGCGAAAAATGTGCTTCGCCCCTTCTGAAATTTAGCCTTTCGTGAAAATAAAGTTAAATTGGTAATTTTAGAA